ATATATATATATATATATACATATATATATATATATATATATATATGTATATATATATATTTAAAGATTTTTGATTCAGTACAGGGTATTGTAAGTTGAATTATAATACGCTTTGCAGATAACTGATAATCACATTGTATAGTAAAATGAATCGATGTCGAGATTTTTATAGCGCTTAACTACAACTGATAGACAACTTTTAATAAAAAGTTGCAAAACCCGAATCGATGCAGCGAACGAGTGTAGAATGAAATGTAAAAGACGTATAAAAGTTGCTAATAAACAATTCTAACAAATGTGTATATTTATTTATTACCATTAATATTCAATGTTCATTTTATATTAAATTAATTGATTGACTCACATTTTTTTCACAAAAATATATATTTGCTTATGCTTAGATCTCTTTCTAAAAAAAAAGCATAATTTTTCAGACTACCCTCGTATATATATTATATAGATTAGAAGACATTGCACACGCTTTTCAAATTCAGCGTCGAATCGAGGTTTCCTTGAATGCAACTACCGCATAGTGTCGTGGTGATATAACTGCATCGAACAGATCTATTAAATAGCTGTGCGTGTAGCCCAGTTCCTTGAGGTAGAGCAATCGATCGAGAAGAATTAGACTTTCCACTACCGGTGCAAATGACATGCGCAGCAGATAAAAGAGCGATAGATAATGTTTATCTGATTCGTACTTCTGTAGTAAGGCTTCCAGTTCATCTTCTTTGACCTCAGCCAGCCATGAAGCATTTAGCTTCTTTGAACACTTTTGCACATATTCAATAAAATTATTAAATTTTTGTACTTTGCCCACCTGTAAGGAGTTCTTTAGATCGGGAGCGTGGCTGCAGACTAGAACCTCGAGTAGGGCGCGATAGTAGAGCGAAATGTTAGGCAGCTCCTTGGCTGACAAGGTACGCTCAATGGATTGTGCGGCTAGCATACGGGCATTTCGACCTAGTTTTACTTTGCGTTCTTGAAGATAGCGACTCATAGGGAATCCAAAATCCGTTGACTGCTTCATCAATGCCTTATTCCCAAAGAATTCTTGTTCCGAGTAGCGCTCGTTCAACAAATGATAGCAGCAGCCCACATTACACAGCACACGACAATTATTTTGAGCATGGAAAACCTGCAAACAAGTGGCGGCAAGATTTCCACAGGTGTGCAGACCGGTGAGACATATGCAAGGATCAACAACTTGTAGCTCATCCTTAAAATGTTCCTTAACTAAGTCGCTCAAGTTTAGTTCGGTGGTTATGTAAATTGAAGTTGTTTTATATTTATTTGTGGGGGTATTTATGTGTGTTTCCCTACTGGAAGACTTTTTACCGCGTCTTGGTGGTGTTTTTCCTTGGTTTAGTATCTCAGCGCGTTCTGTTAAGCCATTCCAGGCGCGCTAATTCAAACAAATTGGAAACAAAAATAGTGTTGATTAGCGTAAGTAAATTACTGATTGCCTGTATGCCCAACATGCATGAATCGATATATCGATATATATTTCTGCCACCCCGTTTCGCAGCTGTCATTCTTCTTCTTATTGCTCCATGCACGACGCGAAAACGTTTTAGCCGGCAAATAAATACGCGATTTTCTATTTTCATTCCACAACTCTCGTAAAAATAAACAATCAAACAAAATGTCAGCTGGCATGCCCATTAATCCTAAACCATTTCTAAATGGTCTGACTGGAAAGCCCGTGCTAGTTAAACTGAAATGGGGACAGGAATACAAGGGATTTCTAGTCTCAGTGGATGGCTACATGAATATGCAGCTGGCAAACACAGAGGAAGTTATCGAAGGCTCCGTTACGGGCAATCTCGGCGAAGTGCTGATACGCTGCAACAATGTACTCTACATCAAAGGCATGGAAGATGACGATGAAGAGGGCGAGATGCGAGATTAAACTAACCTCAGTACAATTTAGCATTAAGTGTCCAAAAAGTAAATGAAATAAAGCTTGTGTATTTATCTCTAAGCACATACCTGTAATTTACTATCCCGTGAGAGGGCATTTTTAGTGTTTGACTCGTTAGCATCAATTCCGAGCACCGAAAGTCCATACTCTAGACTCAATCTCGATGAGAGGTATCCTTTGCCATCTCCAGCATCAACAATATAGCAATTAGTGTCGTCTATTATACTCTTTACGAGCTTGTTTATCAAGGCCGCAGTTAGCTCTACCTGTGGACATATTTGTATATTTGCAAGGTATTTAGTGCAGCTGCTCTACATTTCTTAATGACTTCATACCTACCTCATGGCACTTCTTAGCGCTCATAAATTCTTTAATGTTAAGCTGAGTTTGCATTTGTGCATTCAGCAGCTGGTCCAGTTGCTCAACACTGGTCAATAGCTCTGTGGTACTGGACAAGCGGTGGCGCTTACTCATTTCTAAAAATTGGGCAAGCGCTGGAAACTGCTGCAAATCAGTTGAGTCATTCGAAAACAATATTTCTATGGCTTGTTGCACTTCCACAGGTGTTGGAAGTTCCGCTCTTAATGACTGAGGCACAAATTCATTCCAATAGTCATCCGTTAAGTAGTTAACCATGTGGCAATTAATTAAAGACATGAACGGAGTCAAGTAATTTATCAACTCATCGAGGCGACACTGTAGCTGTCCCACTCCTATATGTTCCATTTTGTTAGTTCTAGAAACTGTAATCTTTGGGCTCTTGTGTTGTGTGTTCAGTTTTCGGAACAGTTCCCTTTTTGGTGCCCAACAAAGCGCACAGTCGCCGATGCGTGTTCCGAATGTGCTCCACAGCGCCAATGATGTCTTGGTTGGGATCGTTTTGACGTGGAAACTCTTCAATAAGCCGCCGTAGCTGTTGCAATGTGCGCTGCAACTTTTCCGTATGTGGTAACTGCTGTTGGGCCACCACTTGGCCGTAAATGCCGCCCAGTTCTTCGCCAAGTTGAACGCCTTGAGCGTAGCCTAGTTGATATCCCTCTTGATTACCCTGAGCTCGACCGTCGCTGATACCTTCAGCGTAGCCCTGACGAGCGTGTTTTTCTTCGGTCAGCACTATATCATCAAATAAGTCATTAATATCTCGCGAATCGCCGGACATCGCTTCAATGTGTTTGTTTGTCTTATTCAATTATCGATACAAGTATATCGATAACATCCGCTTTAATAAGAAACTAAATTAACATCTTTGCAGCACGAAATTTTGCCAATGCTTGTCTAACTTTCATAAACAATTGCTTTCAATTTCATGCAATTTTAACGATAGTTTCCAATATGAAACTGAAAACCTTACTCGTTTTGCAGCACTTAACATTACAAAAATAGTTACTCAGGTGTTATGCTCGATCTGCCCAAAACAGTTTAATAATTTTGTCTAATGCTTAAAGCAAGGCACACACATATAGCTGGAACTAATTTAATTCTAATTAATTTGGTTCTACTCCCAAGCATCTGCATCAGCATCATCATCGGAATCGCCCTCGTCGCTGGATATGGAACTTTTGCTTTTCTCCATTGGTGCTGCAATTATTTTGGACAGCTGCAACATCATTGGGTTCCCTGATTGCTCCACGGGATTTGGATTGCCTGAGATTCCCTTACGGCGCAGCATAAGCTTATTGTGTAGGTCCGCCATCAGATCACCTCCACTGGTTGCACTGCCTCCTGCTCTGGATCGGCTTGTTGCATTATCATTTTGTTTGCCCACTGCATCTCCATTCGGATTGACGGGTGCAGCAGCCGATGAACGCAAGCGTCCACCATGTACACCTCCTGCATTGCGTATGGCAGCCATTAGCTCAGATCGAGGATCATCTGGCGGTGGTGCACGCGATTCGGGTATGTTTAAGGGTGTCTCCAAGGATGGGGAGATGGGTTTAACGACGCCATCAGAAGACAGTTTGACACTTGTTTGGGCGGGTGGTGGAGGTGGCGGTGGTGGTGGTGGTGGTGGTGGTGGGGGTGGCGGAGGTGGTGGTGGAGCACATTGCGCAGCTGATGGTACAGTTCCAGTGTGAGATCTCCTGGTCATGTGCGTCTGCGCTGCTATTGCCTGCACAGTTACATCCACATTATCAGGAACCACATCTAACTTTTCACTCAGTTCAGTCAACTCGGGCAAGTCGGGTAAATCGACAAATTGATGCGATGGTGCAATGGGTGTCTTCTCCTCGACCGGCACATACTGCAAGTCATTCGCGATGCCCGGCAAATCTGGTAAGTCCAACGGCACATCGATAGCCGGTGCCGCCAACGCTGCGGGCGTATAACGCAAGTCCCCAGCTGGTGTGGTTAGCTTGGTGGTGCCATGTGCCAGAGAGTGGGGCGCCGGTGCCAATAACTGGGTGGGCTTTGGCTTATTGTGAACATCTCGTTTATGGGTCTGCGGAGGCAAGTTTCGCTTCCAGGCATTTAGATCATCACTGCCATATGCGAATTCATTGGTATTGAAGCGCAAAACTGCAGGCACTGACTTAGCTGGTGGCAATGCGCCCAAACCGGAGACGCTGTTCGTAAGCTGACGTTCCGTGATAAGGGGCGTCTCTTGCTGCTCCTCGCCACGTACATGAAAGAACACGGCGTCGATATCCACGGCACTGTTCGAATCACTCGCTGAGTCAGCATTGCGATTGCGTTGACGGCGTTCCGATATCGCTGTTGTTGAATGTTTTTGTGTTGGTGTAGGAATATCCATTGACTCTTTGGCCACGGCCGGAAAGGTTGCGGGTATGTTGTTTAAGATACCGTTGCCTGGAAACCGAGCGGGCGCAAAGATTTTGATGGATTTCTTGGAGCCAACAAGTGCATCAATTTTAACCTGGGCACGCATGACACGCTCATTTATATGCTGAACCTTGGCACCATTTTTTTCTAACCGAGCATCGATGCGGCCAAAAATTGAGTTGATTGTTTTGTTTAGGCAGTCGAGCGACTGTGCTGCTCTGATTATTGTTTCCTCGTGATGTAGATCAGTTGGAATTATCGATACCTGGTAGGCGCTGTGCACAAAGGTCTCGCTTTCGTCCATTTTTCTTCTTTATTTGTGGATATAGTGAGAAATTAACTACTTGCATTTAGCTGTTGGCGATTTCTATCCCCCCTTTTGTTGACCCTATCCAATCAACAGCTGGTTGTGCGAGAACTATGGTGCTGCCAACTTGTGCGTTGTGTACCAATATCGATATTATATTATCGATATCTTACGCATTTATGAGTCAAAGTATGGAAATCAATCGTAGCTCACACCTCTAGTGCACACTCATCAGATCGCAGTTGTTACGTGAAAAAGTTGTCAAAGGCTGATTTTGTTTTAGTTTAAAAAGTGCTCAATAATTATTTTTCACTGCATTCTAGTGTGTTAAATGAAGTGTACAAATGTATTATTAAAACAGGTATGTTTGCCAACTTGTATTTAACGTTTAAATTCTTTTGTTAAGATAAACGTGTGCGTGTGTTTTGTATAAACGTGGCTTTTCAACAAAATTTAGAAAAAAGATAAAAAGTCTGGGCTTCAGTAAAAAATCAATACCAAAAGTGTCTATTTCGCAGACGTGTTTTTTCCAATCGATTAAATATATAATTCGTTAGAGAACTTCGTGTTTTTGCAAAAGTGAAAAAATGCGTGTTTGTATGCCTGCTGGCCGCCATTTTGAATATTTGCTAAGAAAAAACTTCCCCTAGCCCCGTTGCCCGTGTGTTTATTGTTCGCCCATGAACAGATACATATGTGTGTGATATAAATATACATAGCTGTTGGTTGGCGTGTGGTTGTTTACATGTGTATTGTTATTTTATTTTGCCATGACTGCAAAGCCACATCAACAATTATAATATTTATATACATAGTATATGTATACTAAGTCGAGTATTTGTGTGTATAACCGCATGAGTAGGGATATTGCGAAAATTTGTATTCACTAAAATATCGATAAATTATAATCTAGTTTTTTAATTCTCTATACTTGCAGCTTAACAATTTATTGTAAATCTTGATACGGATTACAACAGGGTAACCACAGGAGTTTCAAGAGGAAAGCCGCCTGCAAATATGGAGCATATACTGCAATCGTATCCAGAGGATGCACGCCGTATTGGCGAAGAATATTTATCTAGTCTCACGGATTTAAATTGCAATAGCAAGCCACTGATCAATATGCTCACCATGCTCGCCGAGGAAAACATTAACTATGCCCATGTCATTGTGCGCGTAGTGGAATATCACATCAGCCAGGTTAACAAATAAAGCATAATTAATTAAAACAGCCACAACACACAGATAGAGAGCCACACATATCAGACACCCTGATACATACACATATGCTAAAAGAGACCTACGTACATCCGCCGCCGATACCGCCGTTTACACGGCAGTTGTGTTAGCACATGATCTCCATGTCCAAAGTGTGTGTTAGTTGCAGTTAGGGAACCACGAAATATCTTAAGTTGAAAAGCCATCGATAACAAGAACTGCGTAAACAAAAAGCTAGATTGCCACTTGAATATTTAATGAAATTATTATTTAGCTTAAATGTTGTTATTTAAAGTATCTGAATAATCAACTATTTATATATATTGATAAATCTACTGAGCCACAAGCAATACTTCATTGCATATTTAACCAAGAAAAAAGCAAAACAAGTTAAAATCTTTAAAATTTAGATCAATTCTATGTTATTAAGAAAGAGCAGATTTTGTAGATCAAATGGCAACCGAAATTAAGAATGATTAATTTGCAACATTTTGCTTGCTTATCTTGAGTATATATTACTTTCAATGTTATCGAAGGCGTTTTTTAACCTTCAGACTTTCGTGTTAAGCGATGTGGGCATGCTAACGAAAAGATTGTAATATAATTTATATATAACTTTCTTTGATGTTACCCCATCTGCATACGCCTTGTATAAGCAACCTTTTTAAAGTTTAACCAATAAGGCAATAGATAAACTTTGTTTTTAACTGAATTCAATCTCTATTGGTTTTGTTGTTTAAACTTTAAAGAAATATCGTAACTCAATTTGATACATTTATATTTGGGTTTTAAGCAGAGACTGATTTATCCAGTACAAGGTAAGACGTTTACTATATTTCTATTCCTCTTTTTCCTCGATACCTTGATACAAAATACACAAAGAAATCGAAAAGAAAATTCCAATAAAAGAGAAAATACTTAAACAATTGTCATCAAGTTGTCTTTTATTTTATACAAGAATAAAACATTGATTCCAAATGTAATATAAACAAAGAAAGAAAAATATAAATATTATATAACAACAAATAAATACCTACACGCAGCAAAAGAAGACAAATTAAGAGATTTAAAACAAAACAAGAATTTGGCAAAAAGGAAACACTGAGGCAAAACAAATCAGTAATGTATTCAACTTGTAAAGTAAACGGCATACATATTTTAATTATTTTGTAGATACAATATATTTATAATTTTAAAACCTGACCCTGAAAATCTAGATTTTGTATTTCATATATTAGAATACGTTTATATTTTCGGAATATTAAGATTAGCAAAGGTTTTGTTTTCAACAAAGTTGAGCCCAATTTTGAATAAATTTGAAATATATTCGTATAATGCAAATTTATACAACATTTTTTCCACTGTGGAAACATGTGTGAATACAATGCGATTGGAACAGTTTAAAGTTAAAGGGCGTTTCTTTACCTTGGGTTACGTACTTCTTTTTGTTTATTTTTTTTCTATTGATCAACTGTCCTCACCTTCAACATGGAGATGCATTTGTGTCCAGCAGCTGCCGTCGTCGTCGTCGTCATCATCGTTGTTTTCTTTTGTCTCTATGATCGTCAGTCGTGAGCCAAGGACTGAACTGAAGTTGTTGATGCTGGTGTGCCTCCTCAATCTGTGTCGAAACACTTCGCTAGCGACGTTGTAGAAACTTATTCTCTATTTTTATATTCTTACCTATCTTACCAAATCAAACAGGTGCCGCCCGAATTCAAATTACCCATACTATATTTAATTGATTCGATAATTAAGAATGTGAAAAGCAGCTACGTGCAGCTGTTTGGGCAATGCATAGTCAATATATTTCTCCACGCCTTTGAATCGGTAAGTGAAGTCAGCAACAAATGTAAAAGCAATATTCATTTTAGCTAAATATCCTTTCTAATCTCTGATCTTTAGGTACAACATTCGCCATCCCAGGTGCTGGAGAAAGTGCGGGAACGCATGTATCTGTTGCGCCAAACGTGGAACGATGTGTTTCCTGCATCCAAGATGTATGCCCTGGATGTTAAGGTCAAGCGTTTGGATAACAATTGGCCCATTACGGCGAAACCAAGCCAACCTAATAAAATACACGTTAATCCCGCCATACATGTCAATCCTGATTTTCTCAAAACCGTAAGTATTATATGAACCGAAATGTAAGACTAGTTAAAGTAGCTAATTAAATAAATTTTCTTGCGCAGGGCATGGTGTCTATGCCCGTGAACTCGGCTCTGCCTAGCGACATGGAGGAGATATTACAGGCGAAAACAAGAGAGCTACTGGAGCTGAAGAAGCGCAAGCTGGAACTTGAACTGGAGCAGACTAAAATGCATTTAAAGGAGCAGGAGCGTCAACTAAGTCAAGCAGCTGATGCAATTGCTGTAACGCCCATGACAGCTGGCATGTCTGCCCCAACACCTATACTACGTCCACCAGGCATGGAGACAAGCGTGCCTCCGCCTAACTATCCAAGCGGCATGCGACTTGTGCGTCCAGTTGCGCCAATCGCTCCAGTAGTTGGCCAACCTGTAAGGATTATGCTTAAGTGGATTATTATATTACTGAATCTAATTTTTGTTTAATACTTGCAGCCTTTTGTCAACAAGCCAAAGGTGCATCCAATTAATCCAGCTATGCTCAATTCTGTGCGTCAGCGTGATCCTCGACTGGCCCGTCAGATGCAGCCGCAACAGTCAGCCCCAATGGCAGCGCCCATGCGTGCACTAGATCCACGTCTGGACAGTCACAAAGGCGGCAACTCTTCGACCTCCTCTTCAGTGCATAAATCTAGTCGTTCACGCAGCAAGTCTCCATTGCACAATTCAGGCAGCAGTGGCAGCAATCGTTCCTCCAAACCCAGCAGCAGCAGCAATAATCACCACAGCTCCAGCAGCAGTCGCAAGCGCAGCGAGTCAAAGAGCTCAACGGCATCAAGCTCATCCTCTGGCTCAGAGTTCAGACACAAGAATAGTAACAGCTCGCCGGTTAAACGCTCGTCTAGTTCACGCGACAAGCATTCATCGAGCAAGGACTATTCCCATAATGGTAGCTCACCCTCAAGCCAGAGTAAACGCAAGAGCAGCTCGCCTGCAAGTTCGCCAACCAAATCAAAGCGCAATGCCTCCCACAAATCCATGAGTCGCACGAAATCGAGTGGCTCGAGGAGCACGCGTTCACGCAGTCGCTCACCAATATACAGGGATGTGGACATGCGTAGCGGGGAGCGCAGCAAATCGCCAGAGCCAACAACAAAGGCAGCAGCAGCAATATCATCAGTGGTTGTTCCAGCTTTACCAGCAGCAGCAACAACAGCAACAGCAGCTCCAGCAAATGATTTAGAGAAACGTAAGAAACAATTTTTAATTCTAATCTCACACTTGTTAGCCAACAGCCAAGTCGTTAGCAATACAAATGACAAAGTAGTTGAATTATGCACAAATTACAAACCAAATTGGCGGCACCGAAGGCTTGACAGCAGGGACTATCAAGGGGTCAGGTTGGGGTTGGTATATTGAGTGTTAAGTGTTGATCTCATTGGAAAACTGCTACGAAACTACAGTTGATCCCTCCCATGCTATAGAAATAAAAAGCAAAGTGCAATTAATTCCAAATTTACAAACTTTGTAATACTTTAATAGCAGAGCTAGTGCTGGAAGCTATTAAAGTCAATTTAATCCATTTAAAGGCAACAGATTCAAGCTCGCTATTTAATTATCATAAATCCTAGTTGTTTCATTCAAGCAGTATTACGCTTTAACTATTAACAAAAGACTGCTGAAATCATATAATGACTTCATTTTCTCATAGGCTAAGTATTGCAAAAAAAAACTATCAAAAGCGACTTGAAGCTCTATTAGTTTTAATTCTAATTATATTTTTTTGTTTGAACATTTAAATTTAATGTAATCAAAAAGTTGCCTTTGATATATTGCGAAAACTAATATGAAGATCTCATACATAGAAAGAACTCATTCGTATTACTAGGAAATTCAGAAATTCTTTTCTTTGTCAATTTTTGCACTTTGCTCGAAAAGCTTTGATGGTAACTCTAAGGGTTGTCACCTATCCTGTCGTTCTGAGTTTGTTCTTCCAACTTTCCTTTTCGTAGGCGTTGTTTGGTAAGCTTTTTTCACTCGATGCTCCACTTAGATCGATATGCCCTTTGCGATTATTTGATAAAACTGCGATAATTTAATTGACATTTCCAAAATTTTAAACGAAACTATATAAGCCTTAATTAATTACTACATAAGCGCAAATAACGATAAAATTAAAATTTAATATTTAAAAAAAAAAGAGAAAAGAAAAGAAAAGAAAAATAAACAAACAAAAACAAGAACTAAAGAACAAATATAATAAAAAATGCGTTGTGAAAACCTTTTGCATTCCAGTTGTTTTAATTAATGCAAAATAAAAACAGCCAGGTGCCGCCTTTTGTTGTAATTTTAAGTATATTTACTTTGTGAAATTGTCATAAATGAGAAAATCGTGTGATAAAAATGTAAACTGGCAAAACCAAAAAGAAAAACTATGATATATGCTCCATATCAGTTTTGATAAAACTAAGATTAAATAAAGACTCCAGCTTTAATTCGTTGTAAAAAGTCTAAAAGAAACAAAAGAACTCTTAAGCAAAACTTAAATATTTTTAAACGTAAATATTTTATAAAACGAAGAATAATTGATTAAAGCGTATTTTGTAGTTGTATTATAATACAAGATATACATCTTGCCAAATATGTATATATATTATATGTTATTTTATTACTATTATTATTTATTTTTGTATTTGTAGAACGGCACTTTTTAAGAACCCACGTATATATATTTTTTCTTCCTTAGTCTAACCCATTTCCTTAACGGAAACATAATTGAATAGTTTCATTTATTATTATTATTATTTTGTTATAATTTTCCACTAATTTTTCTAGCTCAATTGCTGTGCCTGGTGTATGTTGACGATCCACTTTTGTTCTTTATATTATGCAATTTAATAACTCTTGTGTTTTTTTTTTAATGATTTTATTCAAACCCCTTGCCTGTTTAGTTTTTTTAATTTTTCTAGTCCCTTTTCAGGGCTATGCCCCAGCCCATTTATAATTTTCGTAAGAACTCTTTGTTTTTTGTGGAAGCATAAAATACAAATTTCTAGATACACATTTCACACTACTTGAACCAGGGCCACGTTCACCGCATTTAGATGCATCTAGCAAGGACGTCGATTTGCGGCCCTTTGCCAAATTGGCCAACATGGCGGCTGCCGTAAGGCCAGCAACGCCGCCGGCCCCTTCCATAACGCTCGACACGACAAGAACAAATGCAGCAACGATTGCAGACATCGGCAACAGCAGCAACGAGAACAGCAACAACACCAGCAGCACAACAAAAATTGCTAGCAGCGCCTCCAACGCAACGAGCAACAGTTCTTCCTCCAAATTGCCCACAAAAGTGTCGTTCAAAATACAAAAACCGTTTAATAAATTAGAAAAATCTACAGCGCATTTATCAACAGCAACACTGCTAACAACAGCAGCACCAACACCAACAGCAATTGCTGCAGCAGCAGCAGCAACTACAGCCATGATGCCAGCCAGCATTAGGCAATCGTCTCCGGCACCGGCCTCAGTGGAACTTCTGACGCACTCAGCTGGTGAGAAGCGCTCGGCTACCCAGATGCCGGCAAATGCGGATACGGATGAGGATGAGGATAAGTTGCAGCAGCCGCAGCAGAAGCGCAGCAAATCCGCCAAACTGGATGCGTAAGTGCAACCATAGCTGAAACTGAATTTCGATTAAATATAAGCATTATTATTTCTGTTATTGCAGCCTCTTTGGCAGTGAAGATGTGGACTTGCGTCGAGAGCTGGCTCCAAGTATTCTTGCGCCGGGCAACGTGATTGTTGTCGACGATGATTCCATGGACAACTGGGAGGCCAACAAGGTGAGCAGTTAAAGCCTAACGCATTTAACTAACATTAACTAAATCTGTTTTTCGTGCTTAGCAAATGAATAAGTCGCCTTTGTCGCCGGCGAAGAAACCTACATTAGATGAGTTGCGTGCCAAATTGGCCAAGACTGCGCGTCACAGCAATAAGCAGCAGGCTAAGCCGGGTAAGTAATTCCTCAAACTCAAATCAGTTGTCAATTTACTTTAGCTATTTTATTTATCAGACAAATCAAAAGATTATCCCGTGACTCAACGTCTCAAGCAGCTGTCGTCAGAGCTGAAAATCAGCGATGATTCACAGGAGGCGCACGACGAAAAGATGCGTACAATACTAAGTCAGGCACAGGAAATGTTCGAGAATAATGCCATAAATACGGAGCAATACAAGGACCTAGTTAGCAAGGTTGTGGTCTTGAATGAGACTGGCAGGAAGGACCGGCGACGCGAAGCACCTGTCGATGACGAGGACTTGGAGCGGAACGCAGCGCGAGATGCTGTCTTGCGAAAGCGCATACCCAAACTGAAGGGCAATGAGAACCATGCGTCCAGTTCGCCTCGTAGCGATGGCGAGCCACAGCAGCAGCAGCTGTTGCCAATTGTCGACAAGCCACAGCAGCAACAGCAACAGCCGCCGCCTGCTAAGCAGCTGAAGAACAAGCGTGATGGCAAACGACGCAAGCCCAGCAAATGGGGCGAGCAGGTGGATCCGGCTGCAGCACAGCGAGCTGCATGGCAATTAGCTCAAAACAATAACAATAACAATGTAAAACGAAATGCCGTGGCAGGCGGCGGAAATGTTGGTTTTCGTGGCATGCCTTGGCAGCATCCGCCGTTGGTTATGGCGCAAGCTGTCGTGCCACCACCACCGCAACCACCCTCTATGCTAACACTGCCGCCAGTCCCAACGGTGAACATAACCAAAGCCATCAACTCACTGGACAACCCCATGGCAGATATGGTGCGCAGCATTACGATCGATGGCGGAACTAAGGAGATACGTTTCTATAATCAGGTGGCAATCATATTTATGGATGGCGATGAGCCGCATGAAATTGGCTTCCAGAACGGACAGCGTGCCATCTACATTGATCACAACGAGCAGCCGCTGGCGCTCAGCTTCAATGATGACTACAAACCCTTTCAGTTGGATGGGCAGCTGCATCGCATTCGTTTCGGACACCCCTCTCGGGAGCTGTACATCGATGATCATTGGTATGAGATCTACTTTGGTGGACCGCCCGTTTCACTGCCCATCGGCAATAAGTTGCATGTGCTGAAGGCGGAGGGACCGCCGCCAAATGTGGACATTGGTCGTGTGCGTCGAGATTTAGTTGTGGGCAAAATCAACATGATTGTCGATGCACACACAATTGTGCCGCTGTTTCTCGATGGCCGCCAGCAGACGTTCCATTTGGGCGCCGAGCAGCACTCGCTCCAATTCGTGGATAGCTTCCTTTATGCATTGCTAGATGGACAGCTGCAGAAGCTGGAATATGGCGGGCTGCCTAAGAGCATGAAATTGAATGGAGGACGAAATTGCTTCATACGCTTTGGCACGCTGCCCAAGGGCGTGCAGGCGGGCAAGACCCACGTTCAAGATATGGTGTACATTAAGACTGAGGCGCCAGCAGAACCGCCACAACCGCCGCCACTGCCAGTGGCTGTATTGCCAACTGCACCAGCCGCCGCAGTAGCAACGCCCGAGCAGCCAGCAACTGTTGCAGCTGTCGGTGTGCCGACAAATGCTGCTCCTGTTGTGCCTTTGCCTGAAGCAGCAGCAGCCGCTCTAAGCAATCTCAACATTGACGAACTCTTCCAGAAGCTCGTCTCTTCTGGCATAATTGCTGGCACCACCAGCAACAGCAGCACAGTCAACGTACCTGCTTTGGATACCAATTCCAACTCTAGCAAAGAGGCGACAGCAACAACTGTAGCACCAGCAACAACTGTGGCGCCTGTTGTAGCTGCAACACCTGCAGCAACTGTGCCGGCAGCCCCACCTCTCGAGCCCATCAAGCGCATTGATCTGACGAAGCCAGACACAATTAAGACTCGTCAGGCGGCCGTGATTGCCAGCCTCTATTTGGGCATGCAGTGCAGCAGTTGTGGCGTGCGCTTCCCACCGGAGCAGACCATAAAGTACAGCCAGCATTTAGATTGGCATTTCCGTCAGAATCGAAGGGAACGCGATTCGACACGCAAGCCGACGTCCAGGCGTTGGTACTATGATCTCAATGATTGGAAGCAATACGAGGAAATTGAGGATGTCGAAGAGCGAGAAAGGAATTTCCTCGAATCACAAGGCCAACAATTGGGACCTGATGCTATCGATGAGGTCTCCCAGCAACGTTCACTCAATTCACCTGTTCCTAGCTGTGCAGCTGGTCCAACAGATGTGGATCGCGGCTGTGACATGTGCCACGAGAAATTCGAGCAGTTCTACAACGAAGAGCTGGAGGAATGGCATCTACGCTCAGCCATACGCGTAGACGATAAGATCTATCATCCACTATGCTACGAAGACTACAAAGCTTCGCTCAATCCACCTCCAGTTGTTGATAATGACACGACAGCAAATGAAGATGTGGATATGCTAAATGCTAGCGATGACAACGCCATGGACACGCTGATCAAGCTGGAAGATGAATCGGGTAAGCACAAATGAATGTCTAAGCAGGTTCATTAAACTAACTAATAGTGCTAATCACATTCTTAGATGATGTCAAGAAGACGTCCAGCACGGTGCTGGCCGACGATGATGATGATGATGATGTCATTGTGCTGCCCAATGAGGAACCTAGTGTTACAGAGATTGTCGATGACGACGATGATGAATATGTGCCCGTCGCTACTTCAGCCGAACCAGAGACAGAGCTGTCCAAGGAGAAGCCAACAAGCAGCGAACAGGAAGATAAACAACAGCAGCAAACAAATGAGCAACAGCTTGATAACGAGCATCATCAAAGGGTGTCAGAGAACGCCAATGAATCAGATGTGGAAATACAGGAGCCAAACATTCCGTTTACCGATCTGGACAACTATGTAGAAAAGGAGCCAGTGCCGATGCTCAATGTTAAAATCAAAGAAGAGCCGAAGGATGACGACGAAGAGGATGATGATGGCTTTGAGGATGTGGGCACAGTAGTACAATTGCTGCCGCTGCCAGAAGATGAGATATCCATATTAAGTAGCGGTAAGTAGCCATCTCTTTCTATATATATATAAATCATCTCAGCTGATATCTCTCGATTAGAAACATTAACCCATACCATCGATTCGACTGCATCGCCAGCTACGCTGGAGCGTCCAGCCTCGGTGACATCTCTCTCATTGCCAGCCAATGACGATGATCTGGAACTGGAGCCAGTTGCTGCAGCAGCCAGCAGCGAGGCCGATTTTAATGGTGAGAATCCGCAGGAGACGCATAATTTAAGTGCAGCGGGGCCGGCACCGGCGTTACCTTTGGCTAGCATAGTTAATAAAATAAAAATAAATATCACTAAGAATACAAGTAGTAATAGTCATAATAGTGCCTCAACAACAACAACAACGGACTCTCAAGTGTCGGCTATAAGCGTCATTGGCGCCACTGGAAATGCCGATCAGCAACAACAACAACAGCAGCAGCAGCAGCAGCAGCAAAATTCCATTCAAACAATTTCCACTATTCCTGTGCTGTGTGGAGGCAACACGTTCGTTCCGAAGATTGCCACCAGCAGTAACAGCAGCACAAATACGCCGCCTGCCAACATAAGTAGCATTTCCGTTATTGGAAGCAGCTACGGCAGCAGCAGCAGCAACAGCAACAACAGCAGCAACAGTTCGCGTGTGCCTGCAGCAGCAGCAACAACATCAGCGGCGGCATCATCAGCATCTCAGCCAGCAACTGTCAGCGGTTTGGGAACGGCAACTCAAAAGTCGAATACCCCACCACCATCCGCTGCTGTCGAAGCTGAGCCGGAACCTGTGATCGAACTAAAGCCCGCGCTGCGGCAGGTGACGCTGAAGAAAACGAAGAAAGTTCAAAATGGCATCGAAACTTCGGGCCTGTGCTCGATCATGTAGAAAGGAGGAGAGAGTGATGGGCACATGCAAATTATTCCTAATCTCACTTCATGTGTGTTTTTCTATATAATTAGCAATTTTACAATTTTAATTTAGAACGTTACTTAGTTTTAGGCAATTTACAGAGGCGCCAATAATAGCGCATCTTTTTGCGGTTCTATATAGGCATCCCCCAACTCGTACGAAACCCTCTCCCACTTACATAAACCTATACAGAGCGCGCAACACTTAATTTATTTTTACAACGATACATAAATGCAAAATAAAAAGAAAATTTTTACACACAACTATAAGAGAACGTATACATAATTTGTGATAATTTTTAAACACTCGGGTCAAAATATTTATTCAGTTATACAAATCAGAGCTTGGTCCCTCATTATTATTCATGTAATGTGCGTTTGCTGAATTTGAAACAATAAATGAAAACTGAATTCAACCCAATTTTGATTTAATTCATTTTTATATAAAATTCTATATATATTTTTAATTATGTTTAAAGTACTTAGTTATTTCAATAAACAGGCAACAACACTAAAAAAAAAAACTGGTTTTATTAAAAAATAACAATAATTAAATTGGATTAATGGATTCAATTTATTTTTGAAAACAAATTGGCGTGAATAAATAAATATAAATATCTAAACTTCTTTTTAATTAACAGTGAATAAGAAAAGGGATAAACTTTTAATTTAAATCGAAGCAAAGAGCGGGTGTTTAGATTGGTGCTATGAAACTCAATCGGTGCATAATGAAATAGCCATCACCTTTTTACACGTAACAGTCAGCTGTTGCGTCCAATATGGACTAAAAAATACCAAGCGCGCTGTACTATGCACGTGGGCCAGTTTAGCGTTTACATTTTATTTTAGAATATATAGTTTATAACATGTCCTCATCGTTTTTTCTTAAGCCAGGCGCCGCCAAGGTGGCTGCCAACAAAAAGCGAAAAGTAAGCTATTAAAAGAAAATGAGGATATATAATATTGAATACAGCAATTAATTAAAAATAATTTTAGCTTAATGCAACAAAAGCAAAAGGCAACGCCAAACCGGGCAAGAAAACACAAAACGCAGTTCCTGGGCCCAAAAAGCAACGTCGAGCCAAGGTGGACGATGAGGAGATTGCAAGTGATGATGATGAAGAATATAATGGAAATACCTTGGCATTTTCCGCCGACGAAGATGAAGAACAAGAGACGGCCCAGGATAAACGCTTAAGACTGGCGAAAGAATATCTAGCAGAGATTGAAAAACAAGAAGCGGAGCGTGCCGAGCAACAAGAATTAAGCCAGAGTGTAGAACAACGCCTACAGACGGAGTATTTGGATAGTGTGGGGCGTCTTCGACGCACGATTGCCGCCGATCTTAAATCATGTACAATTAAAAATGTACTGAAGCACAAGCTTCACCACAGTCCAATCTGCGCCCTTTCCCTTAGTGCGGATGGCAAGCACCTGTACACTGGGGCGAAGTCGCAATATGTGCTCAAATGGTGCACGGAGAGTGGTAAAGTGTTAGAAAAGGGTGATGTACTGCCGCATCGTGAGGAGCCCGAAACCACGAAGAAACGGAGATCACATATTATTTCCATTTGCCTGTCAAGCGACATGAAGTACATGGCATTAGCCGAGGGCGGAGTCAATATACAAATCTGGTGCCCACAGAAGATGAAGCACATGCAAACGTTCAAGGGTCATCGAGATAATGTCACGGGCCTCGTCTTCCGCAAAGGCACCCACGAGCTTTACTCTGCTGCAAAAGATCGTTCCGTTAAGATCTGGTCCGTGGATGAAATGGCATACGTTGAGAGCTTGTAAGTGAATTATAACTAATTTAAAGTTTTGTCTAATAACATTTTATTACAGATTTGGTCATCAAACTGCTGTTACAAGCATCGATGCATTGAGTCGCGAACGGGCCATAACTGCAGGCGGCTCGGATTGCTCTTTGCGTATTTGGAAGATTACAGAAGAATCGCAATTGATTTATAATGGGCACAAGGATGGCATTGAGTGCGTTAAATTTATTAATGATGAACATTTTGTATCCGGCGGAGTAGATGGGTAAGTATAAAATTTCAGACAAAGGAAGAACGTCTTAATTACGCCTATTTTACGACAGTTCGGTTAGTCTGTGGAGTGCATTGAAGAAGAAACCAATTAGTACAACGCAATTGGCTCATGGAAAGGGCGACAACGATGTAGCTAACTGGATAACAGCGATTGCCGTAGTCGTCAATACAGATTTAGTAGCAACAGGTGGAACTGATGACTTCTATTTATTAGAATTAAAAATAATTCTTTAATTTTGTTTTAGGCTCTTGCGACGGCTGCGTCCGACTATGGCAAAGCAATCCAAATGCTCGTAAATTGCAGCAGATTCTTAGTATACCAATTGCTGGTTTTGTAAATGCCCTCACTTTCAATGCGGATGGCAGCAAGCTTTATGTGGCTGTTGGTCAGGAACATCGCTTGGGACGTTGGTGGCGGCTCAAAGCTGCGAAAAATAATGTAGTTGTAATTGATCTTACGTCGAGTAATGTGAATAAAAAAGAAAAGTAAACAGTTACTAAACTATTATTCGAAGACCGCGCCAATAAATTTGGTAAAATTAAACGAACAATCGATAAGTACCTCATTTATGAGTATCATCTCTACCTCGATGCTTAGAATCAATTCCAGTGGCGGTTGGTCGATAAGTTGTGATTATAAAACAGGCAAACATGCAAAAGAAACCCGGCGGAGGAGTTTTATCCTTTTTTAAGACAGAAACTGGACGTAAAGTGGTTTTCTATGCGGCGGGCACAACCACGGTCGGTCTATTTTTGGCCAACTTTGTGCCACACACATTTGGACTGAAATATTACCGCGACTTTGTGCAATGCTATCAGTGGGTGAGCAAGTGAATCTAGCATGAGACACATGTTCATCAATTATTCTTCTTATTTATATAGAAATGGCACTGAACGTGAGGTGCCGCCTGCAGTTCTGCAACGTATAGAACAGGCAATGGATAAACTACAATTGGAGAAGCATGAACGGCAGTTTGTCAAGCCATTTACCGTGTTCGGCTTCGATCTGTTTCAAGCCGGTACAACGAAATTTCGCTTTGGCGCTGTTTTGGGAATACCCGTAAATTATGGCTACAACAGTATTGGAGAGATCAAACGTGCGGACATACGCTTTCGAGATCGCCAAATCGATTGGAGCTCAGAAAGTGGTAAACTGTTAGAGCAAGCAATTGTGTTGACCGAGGATGAACAGGTTTTTGGACTGTGCAAAGCGATTCTGCAACTGCAAACGCATCGCGTTCTACTGAACTCAATTTTCCCCAGCTTAAGCTTCTTTATGGTTTATACAGTTGGACACTTTTTGAATCTACGTCTTCAGTTGTTTGCGCGCCATGGCAGTGTAAGTTGTTTTGCGGCTTATCCTCATAACATTGTTATTATTCCTTTGAATTTGCCTTCGCAGATCCGCTTTGTTATGTACAGCATTCTGGGCTTATTCGGTTTGGGCAGTTGGTCATTTATGAAGGACTTTAATCAGGTAGCCGACGATGCAGATATTGACAAAAAACTTGCCACGCTTGGACCAGAATTTGTAGCCGCCGGCATTAGTTATTACGATAAGCATCTAAAGAAAAATATTGCACTACGAAATCTCATTGGAGATGATACCTATACGGCAATGGGCAATGAGAACTATATGCTGCGCCAGAAATCAATGCCGCTGACTGCACGCAAATCTTTCTTCGAGGAGAAATGGCAGCAGATGCAAACAGAGACGACGGCAACAGCGACGCAATAAATAATGTTGTTATATAATAAACTATTTGTTTCATTAATTACTAGTTGTTTATATCATTTATAAAACTACTCTAATAAGGAAATCGCAGCATTGTGCGCCATGGTCACTGCGACTAAACTAAACTATAAACTATACTTGGTTGGTTTTTAGCTATTTATTTACTTTATTTAATATTGCATATTGTTTTCAGCTTTATTGCACATTTACTTAACTTTTAACATTCAAGATAAAAAGAATTTAAAGAAACCAATATAAGTTCCATTGATTTTATATATAAATCATCTGATCTGATCTTTTTTTTCACCATATATAATTAACATTGAAACATTTCGAGTGTCTTCTTTTTGTCTTTGGAATGTCACAGTAATAAATATAGATTAAAATTATTTATAAAATACGTTTATAGACTATAAAATAAATAGGTTTATAAATATTCTAGTCACTAAATTACATCGAGTGTAACTAAATCTAGAAGGTTCCCTCGCCAACGACATCGCTGATGGTGGCTACCAGTCGGCGAGCATGCTCCACGGCACAGGTGGCCGTCACGAGGCCCAAGTGAATGCAATACAATTCATAGACGCGCACCTTGCCGCCAGCCAGCTTTGGGAAACAGAGCTCGGCCAGTTCGCTGTAGTAGTCCATAGGCAAGCAACCAGGCTCTGGGGGTGATTTATGAGCTCCATTTCCGTTGACATTGCCAAACCCGGTGGAGAGGAAATGCTGCTGCAAGTCGAAGGAACATTTCAATATGCTGCCCGATAAATCCTCGAACCACAGGAAATACGAGTAATGAAATGTACGATCCTTCCACATGACTGTCGTTTGACCCTTCTTCAAATAGTTGCGCGTAAATTCCACCATATGCCAGAGCTTGGACTTAGGCAACAGCTGTGGCTGCCCCTGACGTAAGTCAGGCGCCAGCATTTGCCCCGAGCTGCGATTTATGTACATGAAATGCACCAGGCCAGGAAAGTCTTCCAAATACGCATCAATAGAGATGTTACGCGCTGCCTTAACCGCTAGAAATTCGGCAAATTCCAAGAGCTTTGCCTCGACAACAGATGCCGATTCGGCTAGTTGATCCAGTTGCTGATTGCTGGCGATGTCGCAACTGGCCAAGGATAGCGTAAAGAGTTGCTTAAGCTCCTCCACAAAGGCTGGTAGATTTGATTCGATGCGTACGAGCAGCTCACGCTCGTAACTCTTGAAAAACTCCACATACATTTTGCGTAGATTCTCCCAACGGGCTGTGAACTTTTTCACACAGCTCTCCAAATCCTCGTGTTTTTGCTTCAGATGTCGCTTGAGCGCCGTCAAAGTCTGGCTGACAAAAGATTCGAGACTCTCGTAGGCGGGCTTCAGTGCATCGGCATCGCCCTGCTGCTGCACAGCGACAATCTTCTGGAGTACAAAGAAAGTGTCATAAATGGAGCTGGTCAAGGGCATGTGGCCGTACTCGATGAGCTGCAGCAACACTTGATGACCGTGCAGACGGGATAGGTGCACAATGCAGGGCACACAACCCGAATTGACATCGTGGGTGACCCCTTGCAGAAAGACAGCTACAGCTCGTTGAGATCTCTGGGATTGTAGTGCACGGGATAGGATGGCCAGGAAGAGTAGATCAGCCGGTGCCAGGGGCAACGCTTGGCGTGTGCTATTCAAAGCCACCAGCTTGTTGGAGACGAGCAGTAGAGCGTGTGTCCGTTGCTGTCCTCCAGTTTGACGCAGCTGCTCCAACAATGCATCTAGTGTGACGTGCACTGTTCGCTTTAATTCAGTGTTGATAAGCAACTTGGGCAATGCCTCCAGCAAATAGGCTTGTTGCTCTTGCTGGTCCTCCTGCCATAGCTGCGATTCATAGCAGTTGATGCACTGCGTCAGCAGCTCCTGCTGCATTGCGCCAGCTTGTGAGCCAAATAAATTGGCACCATAACAGTAACGGGTCAGCGTCATAGCCACAGCCAGTTGCCGCATCAATTGCTCAATCTCTACTTGGCCAATTTTCAAGAATGTAAATCCCAACAGCTCGCCAAAGGTCAAATTGAAGCCATTTTCGCACTGAAAACTCGCATATGCATTATCAAATTGACAATGCATAATTCGCTGGGAGCTAATAATCGGACTGAATATCTGCAGCAATACATTGCTGTCCAGTGGAGCCCCAGGCGTTGACAACAGACCTTGTGCTGTTGCAATGCTGCATATTTTTTCTGTAAGTGGTCCATTTAAGTTCTGATAAGCAACATCGTTAGCGCTATTGAATACAATTAGACCGTTCATTGTCTTATCAGAAAGCGAAAAATGATTTCGCCTCTATGCACAATGCACTACTTTTGTGGGTACACTGAGCACCGTTAACTTAGCTGCCTAGTATAATAATTAAGCCAGCTTAGTTAGTGTTGAGTTGTATTCGCCTTAGAAAAAATTGTTTTAGCTGCAAAAACTGTTTTCCCACGGTTTACTGTAAATTGCTATCGGTTTACTGCAACTATCGATAATGTCAGTGATAAGAAATGAGCGTTGCCAGGCTGCTAACTTAGAAATTCAATTTTTGTTTATACTAATATCGATCGAACTAGTTCGAAACTGAACAGTTGACCATCATCTGTTTTTTGGACCTGTACGCATGCAGTGTTATCAATTAAGCCATCATATATAATCAAATATATATAGAAGAATTGTATTATGGGTCGCCTTATTCTAGAGCATACACTGCAAGGTCACAAAGGCCGTATTTGGGGCGTTGCATGGCATCCAAAAGGAAACAGTTTCGCTTCTTGTGGCGAAGACAAAGCCATCAGAATTTGGTCTCTATCTGGGAATACATGGACAACGAAGACGATACTATCGGATGGACATAAGCGTACCATACGTGAGGTACGCTGGTCTCCGTGTGGTGAGTATCTGGCGTCGGCTAGCTTTGATGCCACTACAGCCATTTGGTCCAAACACGAATGCACTGCAACGCTGGAGGGACACGAGAACGAGGTGAAGAGTGTCAGTTGGTCACGCAGTGGTGGCCTTTTGGCTACTTGTTCACGTGATAAATCTGTCTGGATCTGGGAAGTGGCTGGCGATGATGAATTCGAATGCGCCGCAGTACTTAATGCCCACTCGCAGGATGTAAAGCGTGTAGTGTGGCATCCGACTAAGGAAATCCTTGCCTCCGCTTCGTATGATAACACAATCAAAATGTATGCCGAGAGTGCACTAGACAGCGATTGGGATTGTACGGCTACGCTTAGCTCGCATACGAGTACCGTTTGGAGCATTGACTTCGATGCCGATGGCGAGCGCTTGGTCTCTTGCAGCGATGATGCAACACTTAAGATCTGGCGTGCCTATCATCCAGGCAATGAGGCCGGCATTGCAACGCCCGATAAGACGACTGTGTGGAAGTGTGTGTGCACCCTGTCCGGCATGCACACACGTGCCATCTACGATGTGTCCTGGTGCAAGCTGACGGGTCTGATAGCTAGCGCGTGCGGTGATGATGCTATACGCATTTTTAAGGAGAGCAGCGATTCGAAGCGAGATGCACCCAGCTTTGAACTGTTAACTTCAGAGGAGAGTGCCCATGAACAGGATGTGAATGCCGTTGAGTGGAATCCGGTAAATGTCGGGCAGCTAATCTCCTGCAGTGACGACGGCACCATTAAAATATGGAAGCTGCAGGAATAGTACTAAGGTCTTTGTGTATAATATAAGTAATGGATATATTGTAATAAATAACTTGGCTTATTTGCTAAGAAATGGTTCGTGCAGTGTTTTGTACAATTTTTTTGCCTTGCGCGGCCCCAAACCCATGACCTGGGATAGGCGCTCCTCGCTAGCATTAATAAGGTTCTCAAGATTCCCAAAGATTTGCAACAAGGTCACAGCATCTGTTTTGTTCACCGGCTTAATGTTGGTCAACGCCGCTACAAGCTATGAAGTATATGAAATTTTAAAATCATTTTAAAGACCCTAAGAGCGTTACACACCTTCTGATGAGGATTAGACTCCACACGCTCCATAATCAAGTCTGGGGAACGTTTCTCGAATTGTTTGTAAGTTTCTATTATTTTGCCCGCCTCGTCGGCATTCCAGGCCAACATCATTGTTAAATCGGCTAGCAGGGAAATGCGCGTTAAGCTTTTTAGCGCATTATGGGGCTCCGGTGTGTCCACCTGGACCAGCAGTACGCGGAGCTCATATAATTTGCCCAGTGCTTTAAGACGTTGGCATATGTAATCCGGATTGAGATTGTGATATTTAAGCGATAGGAACAGTACACAGGAAGTGCGGCCCACCACATAGTCCGGTATTATATCATCCCTATACTCCAGAGGCACATTTAAAATGGATTTTAGTATTGGATTACCGCGCTGCTTGGTGTGAACCAAAACACTATGAGGATTTGATGGTGGTGCCTTAACTGTGCCGGTGCTGGTTGTAGCGGTGGAGCTGCTAGTAGTTGCTGTTTCAGTCGCCGCTTGTATTTTAGTTTGCTTTGGCGCTGTGGGTATATCCATGCAAGCCAAAACATCATCGAACGAGTCGTCGTCCAAGTCTTCCATTTTCAGCCCGGTAAATTAACAAATATCTCGAAATTTAATTATCGTTATTGTTATGCCTATCAATATCGACTATTTTTGCACAGTGTGGCAACTCTATTATTGTTTTGCCCTTTCCTTTCGAGTTGTCAATTCAGCGACGACGACGACGTGTGCGTGCAAAATTGTTTATTCTTCTGCTAAAAATAAATAATACAGCATTCTGAAAAACGATGACTTCGCATCCGGTGTTTATAGACCTGTCTTTGGACGAGCAGGTAATATTCCAATTATAATTTAACGTATTGTATATGCGGCGCTACCCTTTAAAGTGAGGTTATGTGCAAAAACAAGCCATAAATATATAAATTAAAATATTTTTGTTTGTCTTCCCTAAAGGTGCAAGAGCTGCGCAAGTATTTTAAGAAGCTGGGTGCAGAAATCTCGTCGGAGAAATCGAACAAAGGCGTCGAGGATGATTTACACAAGATAATTGGTGTATGTGAAGTTTGCTTCAAAGACGGCGAACCAGCCCAAATTGATGGCATACTGAATAGCATTGTATCCATTATGATAACGGTATGTATGAAGTATATGATTGATTTTGAATATATATCATTAAATCTTCAACCTTTAGATACCGCTGGATCGTGGCGAGAACATCGTGCTGGCCTATTGCGAAAAGATGACTAAGGCGCCCAACCAGCCGCTGGCGAAGGTTTGCCTGCAATCGCTTTGGCGGTTATTCAACAATCTGGACACAGCATCCCCCTTGCGCTACCATGTTTACTATCATTTGGTGCAAGTTGCCAAGCAGTGTGATCAGGTGCTGGAAGTCTTCACTGGCGTCGATCAATTGAAGTCGCAGTTCGCTAACTGCCCGCCTTCCAGTGAGCAGATGCAAAAGTTGTATCGTCTATTGCACGACGTGACCAAGGATACCAACTTGGAGCTGTCTTCAAAGGTGATGATTGAGCTATTGGGCACATATACGGCAGACAATGCGTGCGTTGCTCGTGAGGATGCTATGAAGTGCATTGTTACTGCCCTGGCCGATCCCAATACATTCCTGCTCGACCCCTTGCTATCGCTGAAGCCTGTTCGCTTTTTGGAAGGTGATCTAATACACGATTTGCTGTCCATCTTTGTCTCGGACAAGCTGCCCTCATATGTGCAGTTCTATGAGGATCACAAAGAGTTTGTCAACTCCCAAGGCTTGAATCACGAGCAGAATATGAAGAAAATGCGGCTGTTGACATTCATGCAGCTGGCCGAAAGCTACCCCGAGATGACATTCGACACACTGACCAAGGAATTGCAAATTAACGAGGATGAAGTGGAACCGTTTGTCATAGAAGTGCTGAAGACAAAGCTTGTGCGTGCACGTCTCGATCAGGCCAATCGCAAGGTTCACATCTCATCGACAATGCATCGCACCTTTGGTGCACCACAGTGGGAACAGCTGCGCGATCTGTTGCAGGCCTGGAAGGAGAACCTCAGCTCTGTACGCGAGGGATTAACAAATGTATCATCTGCACAATTGGATCTGGCACGCTCGCAAAAGCTGATACATTAGAGACAACCGATATCCAAGATCAAATAAAATACGAGCGCTGGTATAAAGTTTTACATGATATAAATTATTTTGAGGAATGCGTGAAAACCCAAGCTTGAATAAATTTCTAAGTAAAATCAAAATCATAGACTAATTAATTGTAGCATATACGAGAATATTTGTCAGACTATTCTCAAGATTCAAATGTTCTGAATACTTTCTAGCTTAACACTAAGTGCTGGCGATATATATGCATATATCCTTCTCTTTTTGAGAGATTTGTCAGAAATTGTCACGGCATTTATAGCTCCTCATGAGGCTTCGATTGCTGACGCTCCTTTTCTTTTGGAAACGACCAAAAATACGATGGAAATCCGTGCGTATCCCTTTCCCGTTTGACAAATGCACTATACGAAGAGATGCAGTTGCCTATGAAGTGGTTCGATTGTCCTAGTATGGCCAAATCCAAATAAGGGTCATCCTCTGGCAGCTTATGTACACTGATATCCATACGAGAGAGCGCATTCGTTAGCTCTGCTATCATATGGTTCGAATCGGATGCCACAAATACGGACTTCACCTCATTCTTCGGCTGCGATTGGCGCACATTTTTAATCGTTCGCTTTAGCTGTCTGATAATTGACTCTTTCGTGGGCATACAGAGCTCTTGGTAGAGCTCACCACGTTCGTTCTTATAGCCAAGGCACTGAGGCGATGCGAAGAGCTGCTGGCTATCCTTAATGTGCTCACAGGCGCGCACCCAATCGATGCCATTTCGCAAATGCAGTCCAATAAATGCGCCACGAGGAAGAACCGTACGTATAAATTCTCGAGCGGCTTCTCGATACTTCGGGCTCCATACTAAGTACCTTTGCAATTCACGATTCTCGAGCTGCACGGGAAAGCTTGCCGGTGCGCCGGTGAACGCTAAAACGGGCCACTTATCAGCTTTATAGTTTTCTTGCCACTTGGTTGCTATCGAACTATGACGCACATCGAAGTGTAGCGGGCCATAAAACTCCGAGCCCACAAAATCAATACTATATGTATCCCAGAATGGACCAAAGGGATTGCCATCCTTGGCGTGACAATTCGGTTCATCTGGATTATTTTTCTCTTGTTGCAAGCTTTTGCGTTCCATATAACAGAAGGCAATGCGCTCGTTGGCAGGCCACACTTCATCGGCCAGGTGTTCCATAAAGTCAGACATAAGGATTACGCGATGAAACTCCTGCAGCGGCTCCACCTCGAAATATGTGTCAAAAGGCACCTGCCGAGAGCGCATTTCACCTTTGCGATATTCCACCCATGGTGGCAGAATTAACGTGCGATTTAGAGCCTGAGCGAAGGCTAGCGAGCCTAAGAAATGGTCCGCCTGGTTACCAAAGCGTCCTGAAAAGGCCAAACAATAAATTAAATTAAACAAATAACCAAGAAGTTCTAGTTAACCTTACCCATACAGGGACAGTAGGCAATGTACCCATTGGGATCGCGCTCAAATTCGGCATTTGTATTTAATATTAGTATTGAAATAAAATAAATTAACAATTTAAGCCACTGCATTCTGCCGGCTTCGTGTACAGCGCTGCCAGACTTTTCAAAGTGTAAACAGATATTTGACAATTTAAATGGCGGACATATTTTTTAATTTAAAAATAACTTTTTCATCTATTTACTTTATTCGTAAATGCATTTATATTAATATTCCATTCAATTAATAATTAAAGCCCCTTTATTACATCGTCTCAATGGGTTTTCTACCAGACTTTGAATATAAACAATACTAACAATATACAAATGGCGTTTATATTTAATTTGATAATATCATAATTATTCTGAATATTCAAGCTATATATAGCTATAGCTATAGGGTTTTCCTTAACAATAAACTTTAATAAAAATAATAATATATCAGCAGCTGTTCTTACCGTGCTGCCACTTTTATTACAATTTTTAAAATCTGGCAGCCCACCAAAGTTCATAGGTTTTACTGGCTCTATATTTACCTTTTATCTATTTCATAATTTCCTCACAATCGTTTATGAAGGCTTTAAGATAAGCACGATACTCAAATGACTTCACAGATTTACAATCAAAAGAAGTTCATACCGACAGCGCCAGAGAAGGGCAGCTTTCCGTTAGATCACGAGAGCTTGTGTAAGAAGCATTTCTTAATTTACGCCAGTTGCTTACGCCGCAACGACAACGACAACTCCAAGTGCCGGGCAGAAGCTAAAGAGTATTTGGGCTGTCGCATGGAAAACAATCTTATGGAAAAAACAGAATGGGCGAAACTGGGCTTTCCGGAAAAGGAGCAACCGACAGTGAAAGAGCAGCAACAAAAGCAATGAAGCCGGAACGCAATCTTTTAATTGCAGCCACAGGCAGCGTGGCCACCATTAAGATGGTGCAAATGATATCCGAATTCAGCGACGACAAGCTGCCCTACAAATTTAATGTAAGACGTGCTATGCTTCCACTCTTTCCCTTCACTAACTGCAAATATTTTAACCAGATTAAAGTCATCATAACGGAGCATGCGAAGCATTTTTTTGAATTGGAGGAGGTGCCGGAGCATGTGCCCATTTTACATAACCGAGACGAGTGGCTCACTTGGAATAAACGCGGCGATCCGGTACTGCACATTGACCTAGGCAAGTGGGCCGACATTATGTTAATTGCACCCCTCAGTGCCAATTCTCTAGCCAAAATAGCCAGCGTAAGATGAACCTATCTTTCATTAAACATTAGGTAAACATTATTATCAAATACATTTTATGACAGGGTATTTGTGATAATCTGATGTTGTGCGTGGTTCGTGCTTGGGATTTGGAGAAGCCACTGTTCTTTGCACCGGCCATGAATACACGCATGTACGATCATCCCATTACGCGCGAGCAGATTGACAAACTAATTAAATGGGGCTACAAAGAGATTCCCTGTATATCGAAAACTCTTATGTGTGGCGATACGGGCAACGGGGCCATGGCAGAGGTGTCCACAATTGTTTCTATAGTGGTCGGCACATTTACAATGCCTTTGTAAATACTAAAAACTTTGTTATAGTTAAAAATAAAATACATTTTGTTAAATTTAAACGCATTTTCCCTTACCTATCTAAAGAATTAATAACCTTTTTCAGAATACCCCCGTAAATATAGGTCTATTATTATTATTTTTGATTTTTTTTTTTCAATTTATTTGTAATAATGTTTATTGGTTAATTTTGAGTGCATCTAGGAGCAAAATGATTTATGTTTTACTTTTTTTTAATTTTGTTCCTCATCTCTATATAATATTTGTTTTCTTTTTAAATTGCAATTTAGTTTCTCAATTAACATTTATATTTTTTTGTTGCAGTGCATATTTGTGTGTTTGTTTTTGTTTTCTTTTATCAACAGTTTTATGCATTTAAATCAATTTTTTATATGCGAATTACAATTAATTTTATGCGCTATATTATGTGTATGCTAGAGATGTTTTTTTTTTTTTTCTTATTTGTGGATTGTGTGGGATGATAAACTTAGAATTAGGGAAATAAAAAGAGCTTAGGTTTACGAAAAATTACACAGTAAAATGTATATGTTATGTAAATGTATGTGTATTGTAGTTGCATGTATGTATATAATGTAGTTGCTTATGAATTTGATTAAAAACGAATCAACTGCTGCGACAAATTATAAAAATATAGTCTTCAGGCATATGTCAACCTAAGTTTGAAGTTGTTCTCAATTCTAGCTTAAACATAATTACACATAGTCATATATATACACATACATGTATATATATAGTGTATGTATATATGATATTTTTTATTTATAAATTACAATTAATATTAAACATAAATATTTACATAGCTTGGATTTTATTGGTTTTATTTGCTGCTTTTGCCGCTGCCTTTTTGTTTTTGTTTTGTTTTGTTTAAATTACAATGAGTGTTTTATTTTTTTTTTGTTAATCTTTATATATAATTTTTGTTTTTTGTTTTCATTTTTATGTGCAGCTGTAATACCGTTTTTTTAAAGGTACGAAGCATGCACGTAATACACAACACTTGCTTGATTATTAAGCTTTGTTTTATAGCTACTTTCTTTATACAAAAGGTATTTGCTTTTCGTTTAAGCGTTTATCAGCATTAGCTTTCGTTTTTTCTTTCTCTCAGTGTATCTAAGCCTCTGCACTTGGTATTTATAATTGGGTTTTCGCTTCTATAGTCTAGCTTACAAATTGTCTGGGTAAAAAAGGAGTGATTGGTATTTAACAATGTATACTCTTGCTTTCTCGAACTGATTTTTCGACATGCCATTCAATATATAGTTATATATATATATGTATGTATATACAGAATATAGCATTAGCATTGCATCTAAATGGGTTTAACTTTATATATTACTATAATACGTTGTCAAGTTGCATCTGGAGGCTTAGCTCTCATCTGATCACACAGGACACGCACAACTTCGAGGCGCTGATACAATCATCGTGACAGAATGCGCCGCATTGCTGGCAAATGACCATCGCGTTTAAAGCACAAGCACAACCATTGTTGGTCGCGTCGTTACCTGGCGGTGTGTTCTCGCCGCTTTGATGCAGTTGGATTAGAGCATGCTGCTGTTGTTGTGACTGCTGCTGCTGCTGCTGTGTTGTTTGCTGTGTCGTTCCTGCAGCTCCGACAGCCGTTGTTGTAGCTGCTGTAGTTGTCACGATGTAGTTGTTGCCCGCATCCATAAGAGTTGCCGGCGAATTGCTGTTGTCTATGTAGGTAATGTTGGTACCTATTAAAAGTAGACCATGGTGTTAGTTACACGATTTTTAACTGAATTCTTACTTATTTGTATATACTATATATTACCGTATAGTACAAAATCATAAGGAATATAATCAATAGCAATCGTACATACATAAATATAATGACTGCATTCACAGTTGATGATACTAAGAGCTGCTATGTCTGCAAGCTTAATGAACATCAATACTTATATGAAAATCATCTTAAATCATGTTGACATTATTTTAATTCTTCTTTTCTTTAGACCATATACTACTATGCTATAAATATTTAAATTTTTCAGAAAATAAATCTTTTGTTTTATTAATTTAATAAATTTTCACTTTTCCTGCTGAGCTAAAACTATGAATCATTATCTAATTGGTATACAATTTTTACTTATGCTTAAAACATTTACTCTTAATTAACAATCAATCTGTGAATGCATATAAATTGAAAAAAAAAATAAAAGCATGCAGTTTACATACTCGTTACGCATACGCTAAGAAGGGTTACGTGGAAACAGAAAAAAGAATGAGTCAACGTGGTGATATTGTTTTTTGTTTGCCAAACAGTTGATAAATCTAACAAATCTAGTATGATAATTCATTAATATGATGACGTGCCAATTTATGAATGAATTCAAATTTTTGATGTGTGTGTGTGGGGTGGTTTGAAAGACGTACCTCGCTAAGCACTAATAATACACCAATTTACCTGCAGCGATATTGCGCCGCACAATATTCGCAGCCGCGTTTACATTGCCGAGTTGCTGTTGTTGTTGCTGTTGCTGCTGCAGCTCGTTATGATGCAGTGCATCGTTGCCGGCACTATTGTTGTTGTCCACTGAAGCCGGACGCCCGCGTCCGCCCAAGCTAATGCCATTTAGGCTATGCAGCGAATTCTGAACGGCAACAAACTGATAAAAAGGAATACATTTGATAACCAAGTTCTGATATAGTATATATACTACTCACCTGATTTTGATGTAAAGGCGGCGCACTGGAAGCCCGCGGTGCTTGATTGTCAGCTGCCCCTACATTGGCGCGATGCACCAGCACATATTGCCCTGTGCCATTCTGATGCAACAGCTGCTGCTGCTCTTGGCCGGACTGTTGCGTGACCAACTGTTGCTGCTGCTGCTGCTGTTGTGGACTGGACGCTCCAGGCGTTGCAGTGAGCAAGTGCCGCATCACAGTTGTGGGCGAGGGCTTGCGCTGCACGTACTTCTTCCGGGGAAAGCCACTCATGCGCGGACCTATGACCTGGACAAACAGTTTGTTCTCTATATTAGTTAAGAGATTCTAATTGATCGGTAATCGTGGCAACTTACCTTATAGACGCCCGGTCTGCCCACGCCCAGCACATTGGGCGGCAGGGCTGGCAGCTCCTCCTGCTTGAGCAGATTTTGTGCTGGTGCTGACACAGCGACCGTCGCTGCTGCCGGCACATTGTTCAAGGGCGTGGCTGCCACTGTGGACACGTTAATTGTTGCATTGCTGCTGCTCACTGCAGTTGTTGGCGTTGTCGTCGTCTGTTGCTGCTGCTGGCTGAGTATGGCCGCTGGCGGGCGCAGCTGCGCCTTGAGGTTCTCACGATTCGGACTGTTTTGTATGACAGCCTGGCAGATTTGATAGCTTCGCTCCAGGTTGACAGCTCCCGGTGGCAAACGATTAGTTGTCGCCTTACGCCCCTTCCCCGTGGGCATCTTTGGCTGCAGTCGCTGCTGGGCAATGGTTGTGGGCACTCCCGAAGGTGGCAACGATTTCATGGTCAGCACATTGTTAACTGTTGCAACGGGTTGCAGTTGCAGTGTTTGTTGCTGCTGTTGCTGCTGCAAGTTGCTGTTGTGATTGACCTGCTGCTGCGTTGTCACAACATTTGCATAGCTGGACGGAATTTGGGCATTGTTTGTGGCTGATGTGGGCACTGCTGCTGTGGCTGCTGCATTGGGCGACGCATTGGCGGGTCGTGTCATGGATATGATGTTCAGCGGCTTGGCTATGAACTTCGGTGGCACTACAGCTTGCTGTTGTTGCTGATAGGTTTGCTGCTGCTGCTGCAGTTGCTGTTGCTGCTGTTGTTGTTGTTGCAGCAGATTGTTATTTGCAGCCTGGGCCAGCAGTTGACGTTGATGCAGCTGCGCCTGCAGCGCAAATTGTTGCAGTTGTTGTTGCTTCTGTTCTAGCTGCTGTTGCTGCAGCAAATTTGGTGTTAAGAATTGCTGTGCTCCATTGGTATTGATCTCGAAAGGTTTGCGTAAGGTCACAGGCAACGTTTTGTGTATCGAATTGCTACTAGTTGCCTGCTGCTGTTGTTGTTGCTGCTGCTGGGCGGCTGCTTGTAAGGTGAACTGTTGCAGCAATTGCTGCTGCTGTTGTTGCAACTGCTGCTGCTGACGCTGTTGCTGCTGCTGTTGTTGTTGCTGCTGCTGCTGCTGTTGTTGCTGCTGCTGCTGCAGCAAGAAATTGCCAATGATTTGCCCATTAGAGTCTACCAAAATTTGACGCTGCTGTTGTTGCGGTGCAGGAGCAGCAGTCGCAGCTGCAGCTGGCTGCGGGGCTAACTGATTGATGGCAATGCTGCTGCTACTGCTACTGCACAGGCTCAAGTTGTTGCTGCTGTCATTGCTGTTGCTGCTATTCGTGATGACTGTGCTGGAGACTTCCATTTCGGCAGCAGACATGGGCACCGCATCACAAAGCAGTTCGTGGGAGATCTGTGAATGGATTTAGAATGAAACTGCAATTTGCTGACTTGATGATGTGTTCATGACTCACCTCATTCGCAAAGTCACTGCTGTGGCCCTGCGGCATAAAGGAATGCTGCGTCAATTGGACAACATCCTGCAACTGCGCCTGCAGCTGCTGTTGTTGCTGCTGTTGTTGTTGCTGTTGCTGTAGCTTGTCCACAATATCTTGCACAGCATCGCCACCGCTGACATCCATAACGTGTTCCACCATTTCGTTCATTAAATCATCCTGATCCGGTTGCTCCGCTTCGATGCACTCCACCACATCCTCATCGTCCTCGTCTACAATTTCTTCTCCTTCATCTTCATCTTCGTCATTGTCCATCAGATTGTGACACTCGACCATGTCGTCTATCACCTCTTCCTCTTCCTCCTCGGGCTCATGCACCACATCCATCAACTGGATATCGTCATGATTCAGATGCTGCTCCACCTGATGATGATGCAGTCGCTCCACTGAATTATCCGATGCTTGCGTCGGTCCTGCTGCCAGCAATTTAATGCCACCAAAATTCCAATCGTGCTGCACATTTTGAAACATCTCGCTTGAGTTTAACTCTACCGGCAATTCCACCTGTTGATGCTGCTGCTGCTCCTGCTGTTGTTGCTGCAACGTGGCTACCGTGCTGAGCATGGCCTGCATGTTGGCTAACGTAGCTTCTGCCGGTGTGCCCAGTGATAGCGCCGTAGCTGCAGCTCCTGCTGCCACCGCTGTCGTCGTAGTCGGAGCCGTTGAGGAAGAGTTGCTGCTGGAGCAGGACGAGGAGAGCGATGATGATAACGAAGAGGATGTGCAACTGCTGGATGCCAGCGAGCTGACAGGCGTTGTATTGGCCAGTGATGTGCCTGTCGAGCTGCTAGCCAAGGGCATGGACATAGCTAGAGTCATTCCCGAGTCCTCCAGCTGCTTATCACAATGATCGTTCAGCTTGATGATTGTTGCTGTCGCTAGAGAAAACAAACCAGAATGAATTAAAGCATTGATAACAACTAAATATAGATATATATATTAATTTATTACAGTTGGGCGATGATGATGATGAGTAGTAGGCGTGGCTGATGGCTGCTTGGTGATCATGGAAGTAGGCTGCATGGCACACGAGCATTGAAGCAAGAGATGGAAAGGCATTAGATAGGTTTTCATAATAATTAATAAGTAATATGAAATATAATGAATTGTTATAAAATAAATGTCCATTATAAATAATACTATACAAAATTAATTGAAATTTTGAAATAATTACATACCAAAAAGTTTATAAATGCAACAGTATAAACATTTATTTAAGTTTAAAGAACAATTTTGAATTTCAGTAACAACAGTATTATAAACAAATGAAGAGTACATATCCAAAATATCCAACCAAATGATTCTTAATTAACAATTTGTGTAACATACAATAAAAAAAAAATACAAAATTCAAAAAAATACACAAAAAAAATATATATATATTCACTTAACTATGATAAAAACAAGCAGTCATAATTCAAAAACAGAATATACAAATAGCCAAAACCATTTAATTCATTAAATATTAATTATCTTTCAGTTAGCATTTCAAATAGTCAAAAGAGGCTTACCATGATCAATCGTATCGGCAAATACAAAATCATGGCTGTTTGTCGTTGTTGGGGCAGTTGCGTTTGCTTCTGTCGCAACATTATCCGTTGCTTTGGTATCTAAATGACAATAAAAATTGTTGATAAAATATACAAAATTTTAGAGTTAATCACAGTGTACGAACCTTCTGACATCTCTACATTTTGCAAATAGCCTGCAAAATTGTTGATTGGGTCTGCTATTGTTGATGTTGCTACTACTGCTGCTGTTGCTGCTGCTGCTGCTGCGGCTGTTGGTATTGCATTTGTGATTGTTGAGGTTGCTGGTGTCGCTGTCACTGTCGTTGTTGATATTGCTACTATTGTTGTCTGTGCATCAGGTGTCTCAATTTTATCACAGGTACTGTTGATAAGTGGCTGCTGGCTATTGTTAGTTATTGCATGTGTTGTTGCTGTTGTTGTCGTCGCCGCTACTACTGCATGATCAACAACATCTGTCACATTCGCCATGGCATTATTAGGAACAATATCAGCTAGTTCACGTTTCATTTGCTTGCTCTCTTTCGACGTGCTGGGCAGCTCTTCCTGCTCTTCAGCCATATTGATCGAACTGCTACGTTTACGTCGCGAGGGGCTGCTCGACGGTCGCTTTAACAGGCGTCGCTGTTGCTCCGTTAAAGCATTGCTGCTACTGATTGCTGCTTCTGTTGCAGCAGCTGTCGTTGATGTTGTTGCTGCTGCTGTTGCTTCTGTTGCTGATGGTGCGGCACCGTCAGTTGTTGCGGTTGTTGTTGCTTCGGTAGTTGTGGTTGTCGATTCGCACTTTGTGCTCTGTAATACATTAGGGCAATAGGTTAATTATAAAATTTAAAAACTATCGAATTCGCATTATAATTTACCGTATTAAATTTCAGTTCAGTCTCATTATCACATGTTGCTTGTTGTAGTTGCTGCTGCTGTGTTGTTGTTGATGTTGTTATTGGTGGTGGTGGTGCCGGTGCTGGTGCTGCAGCTGGTGGTTGTTGTTGTTGTTGCTGTTGCTGCTGTTGTTGTCTAATCGGCTCTATCTTTACTTTGCTACTAGGCGGGTTTAGATTCGGCGCACGCTTCGCAATCTTCTCACCCCAATAGGGCTCGAAATGCTTGACCTTCCAAGGATCTAACTTATTCTTTTCGCGTTCCGCTTCCGTTTTCAGCTTCATTTGATTCTCGGGTGTGAATTCGCCTTCACTAAGCCGTTCTCGCCACTCCAAACAGGCGCGCGCAAAGAACTCATTATTCAGGCAGGAGGCGCTTAAACGAATTGCTTCCGTAGTGTTGCCGCTGGAGCTTGGTTGCTCTGACTGTGATGATTGTTGCTGCTGCTGTTGGTGTTGCTGTTGCACAATCTCACTGGCCTCACGATCCACGCTCGGCAGCAACTGTATGAGATTATGTTGATACAGCGGCGGCAGCAATGAGAACGTTTGCTTATTAAGCAGCGCGCGCAGGTTCGTCGATGCCAATATGGAGTCTGGTGTTTCCAAATCGATTTTGCCATCCTTTGTCTGTTCGATTTGCGCGGCTGTCGTGAGTTTTTTGTTACTGCGTCGACGCGGCTTCACACTAAAGCCTGGAATCGAAGCCAACACCTCACGCATTGTGGATGTTTGTGTGGCGGCCTTACCGCTGCCCGGTGATGCCGTCGCATTTGCATTGGCTGCTGCAGCTGCCGCCGCTGCTGCTGCTGTTGCTGCTGCCGCCGCCGCCGCTGCTGCTGCTGCAGCTGCTTTGGCCTGTTGCTGTTGTTGTATGCGACGACTGCTGATGCCGCGCACGGGCGCAGGTGCTGCAACAGTGCCAGCAGCAGCAGTGGACGCTGTTGCTGTTGCCGTTGCCGTTGTCGAGGCTATGCTTGGTGGAACAAACAACGCTGGCGCTGGCTGTAGTCCAGAATTAAGCAAGGCATCCTCACTGGGTGGCGTTGGCTTCTTCTCAGGTGGTATAGGTTTCACAATGATGCGTGGCAGGTGGCGCCTGTGGACAGAAAATGGAAGAGATTTATATATTCACGCGTTCCATTAAGATATAAACTTGCTGCTAACCTCAGACTATGTGTGTGCTTGTTCGCCAATGTTGTATTAAGCGTCTGCTGCTGTTGCTGTGGCGCTTCTGCTACTGTTGTCTGCTCCAATGCCAGTGGATCCTTTTCATCGTCATCATCCACGAGATTCACATGCGCTGTTGCTTCCATAATCACAGGTGTTATGTGTTGTTGCGGAATGATTGCGGGCAAATGTTGTTTATGTTGTTGCTGCAGCTGCAGCTGCTGCTGATGTTGAGGCTGCGGCTGCTGCTGCTGCTGATGATGATGTTGCGGCGCGGCTGAAGCGGATGTCAATGTATCCGTCGTTATCGTTTTCATATTCATGTATATATATTTGTTTAACTATTTACAATTCGTCTCAGCAATGTTTTAATGTTTCGTATCAATGTTATTGTTGTTATTGGGTCCATATTAAGCGGCAGTTTAAATGCTTTTTACGAACATACTAGATAAAAAAAAAATATATATTACAACGAAGTACATTTTCAATTAATAACACAACTCACCTGTCCAGCAGCAGTCTTAGCCATTTCAATAGGCGCCGGGGTGGGCGGCAATTAAATTTTGCCTCCTCAAGAAACAACAACAGTTTTACAACAATTATTTTGGTCCGTGTTTTGTTTTACCTTTACTATAAAAACCCTTACGCCCAGTCACTTTTCACACACACAAATTTATTATACACGCTAATTTTCATTTGCTGCTCTTTGCCTTTTCCTTTTTATACACATACATACATATATATGTATTTTTTAATATAGATGTGTGTATGTGTGTCCGCCGTGAATTTGTTGCCTACAATAACAAACACAACAACATTAAAAAGAGAGCAAAGCAAAGTTGGTTGGTTTGTTGCTTTTGCCCCTGCAGGAATAATACAGATGTATGCTCACACATACACGTACACACTCACACACATATAATTAAAATGCGCACACACACGCATGCACGCACATATAAAAACTTTTTGCGTGGTTTGTTTTGGCTTTAGTTAATTACGTTTTATCCAGCAGTAGTTCAAATTCCACCCACACTTTCAACTTGATCAATATTATTTCTTATGCACCGAGTTAAAAAACAAATCAAATATTGAATGGTTGTTGCAAAGACACAAACAAAAGCAGAAGCAGAGAGCTACAAGATTTTGGATTCTTTTTCTGCTTCTTGTGCTCTATGGCGTCGACTCTTTCTTACGCAAGCGTTTACATATGCCTTGGCTGAACGCCAACCGCTGTCTTTGTTACGCGCACGGAGAGAAGCTACGCAGCAAAAAAAAAAAAAAAAATAGCTTCCAGTTAATTGAATGAAATTGTTGTTATATTGTACATTAAGGACTTAACATATATAACACACATTTGTCGTTTCACATTCTAATATTCAAAGCCTATTTATTTGATGGTTAAATTAAAGTTATTGGGCTCCCAGTTTGAGAGCAATAGGGATGTTAAAAACTGCACTACACTAGAACTAGAGCTGCTAATTGCTATCTATCGATATTACTAACATCTCTAGAGTGACCAAACTTGTTGGGCTCCAAAGCTATCAATATTGATATATAGCGATATATGTCGAAATAAACACAACATGGATAATTGTGTTTATTTACTTTATTATATTGTTGTTGATGGGTCAATAATCTGCAAAAGAGTTATTTATTAGTTTGTTAATACATTTTAATAAATGTTGTGCAAATAATTAAAATGACAGCTTTCTTACATTCCTGTATTTAACGTTTTTCTGATGTCCACCCGTTTGACTTATCGAGATCTTACCATCCATAAGAGAGCAACTATCGATAGTTTTGCAGATGGACAAACAGATGTAAACAACGCCGGCAGATATTTTAATTTTATCGCGGAGTGGGAAATGTTTTAATTAGTTGTTTTATTTAAATTATCATTCATAAACCCGCCAAGATGTTTTCTATGTGCAAACAGACACACGCGGCCACATCGGTGGAATTCGCCATCTCGTGCCGCTTCTTCAACAATGTGGAGGAGAATCTGGTCGTAGCCGGCGCCAATGTGCTCAAGGTTTACCGCATTGCACCCAACGTGGATGCGACGCAAAGGCAGAAACTGAATCCAAGCGAAATGCGATTAGCGCCTAAAATGCGTCTCGAATGTCTAGCCAGCTATTCCCTCTATGGCAATGTAATGTCGCTGCAAAGCGTCTCATTGGCTGGTGGAATGCGAGATGCTTTGCTTGTGAGCTTTAAGGATGCCAAGCTTTCGGTGCTGCAGCTGGATGCAGACACGCAAACATTAAAAACACTCTCGCTGCACTATTTCGAGGAGGATGACATTCGAGGCGGCTGGACGGGGCGCTATCATGTGCCTGTGGTGCGAGTGGATCCAGATGCCAGGTGTGCTATAATGCTTGTCTATGGCAAGCGTTTGGTGGTGCTGCCCTTTCGGAAGGACAACAGTCTTGATGAGATCGAGCTAGCAGATGTTAAGCCCATAAAGAAAGCGCCCACAGCATTGGTGTCCCGAACGCCTATTATGGCATCCTATTTAATAGCCTTAGCTGATCTCGACGAGAAGCTGGACAATGTGCTGGACATACAATTTCTGCATGGATATTATGAACCGACTCTGCTTATACTCTACGAACCGGTGAGAACTTGTGCGGGCCGCATTAAGGTGCGCTCCGACACCTGTGTTCTGGTGGCCATCTCCTTGAACATACAGCAACGCGTGCATCCCATTATTTGGACGGTGAATAGTCTGCCGTACGATTGCCTGCATGTCTTTCCCATACAAAAGCCCATCGGTGGTTGTTTAGTTATGACTGTGAATGCGATCATCTATCTGAACCAGAGCGTGCCGCCATATGGCGTTAGCTTGAATAGCTCAGCGGACAACAGCACCAGCTTTCCCCTCAAGCCACAGGACAATGTGCGGCTTAGCTTGGACTGTGCGAATTTCGCTTTCATTGATGTGGACAAGCTGGTTATATCGCTACGCACGGGAGATCTGTATGTGTTGACCCTTTGTGTCGATTCTATGAGAACTGTGCGGAATTTCCACTTCCACAAGGCGGCGGCCAGCGTGCTCACCAGCTGCATCTGCGTCTGTCACACGGAGTACATCTTTCTCGGCTCCCGGCTGGGCAACTCGCTGCTGTTGCACTTCACCGAGGAGGATCAGAGCACAGTGATTACCCTGGATGAAGTGGAGTCAGCAGCGGCGGCGGCAGCTGCAGGTGCAGGGGAACAGCAGCAGCAGGCGAATGACCAGTCGCCTCCCCAATTGGATGAGGACCAGGTCTATGATGTGGACCAGCATGAGGCGCCGTCGCAAGCCAAATCGCGTCGTATTGAGGATGAAGAACTGGAGGTATATGGCTCGGGTGCCAAAGCCTCGGTGCTGCAGCTACGTAAATTCATCTTCGAGGTCTGCGACAGTCTGATCAATGTGGCTCCAATCAATTACATGTGTGCCGGCGAGCGTGTGGAGTTTGAAGAGGATGGCACCACATTGCGTCCACATGCCGAGTCCTTGACCGACCTGAAGATTGAGCTTGTCGCCGCCACGGGACACAGCAAAAATGGTGCCCTTTCTGTTTTTGTGAACTGCATCAACCCACAGATCATCACCAGCTTCGAACTGGATGGCTGTCTGGATGTGTGGACGGTCTTTGATGATGCAACGCGAAAACCATCAACGGCTCGCCAGGAGCAACACGATTTTATGCTACTCTCGCAGCGATCCTCGACGCTCGTGCTGCAAACGGGTCAGGAGATCAATGAGATCGAGAACACGGGCTTCACCGTCAACCAGCCGACCATATATGTCGGCAATCTCGGCCAGCAGCGGTTTATAGTGCAGGTAAGAACATCTTATATTTCCATTCTCTATCCTTCAATAACTTTACATTCCGTTTCCTCTCAGGTGACGACTCGCCATGTGCGACTGCTGCAGGGCACCCGACTCATCCAGAACGTGCCCATCGATGTGGGCTCTCCCGTGGTGCAGGTGTCCATTGCCGATCCCTATGTCTGCCTGCGTGTGCTCAATGGCCAGGTCATTACGCTGGCGCTGCGCGAGACGCGTGGCACTCCTCGCTTGGCCATAAACAAGCACACGATCAGCAGTGCCCCAGCTGTGGTGGCGATAGCGGCGTACAAGGATCTGTCCGGACTATTCACATGCAAAGCGGACGATGTGCTCAATTTGACAGGAAGCACGGGAACGGGATTCGCCAACAGCTTTGGCGGCTACATGAAGGCCGAGCCGCACATGAAGGTGGAGGACGAGGAGGACTTGCTCTACGGCGACGCGGGCAATGCCTTCAAACTGAACAGCATGGCCGACCTGGCCAAGCAATCGAAGCAGAAGAACACGGATTGGTGGCGACGCCAGCTGGTGCAGGCGAAGCCCAGCTATTGGCTGGTTGTGGCCCGACAAAGCGGCACGCTGGAGATCTATTCGATGCCGGACATGAAGCTCGTCTATTTGGTGAACGATGTGGGCAATGGCGCACTAGTGCTCACCGATGCCATGGAATTCGTTCCGATTTCATTGACGCAAGAGAACTCCAAGGCGGGCATCTTGCATGCGTGTATGCCACAGCATGCGAACTCGCCGCTGCCCCTCGAACTGAGCCTCGTGGGATTGGGTCACCATGGGGACCGTCCATTGCTGCTGGTGCGCACCCGACTGGAGCTGCTCATCTATCAGGTCTTTCGCTATGCCAAGGGGCATCTGAAGATACGCTTCCGTAAGCTGGAGCAGCTGCATCTACTCGATCAACAGCCCACGCACATCGAACTGCTCAATGAGGAGGAGACGGACGAGGCCGAGTCGTACAATATGCAACCGAAATATGTGCAGAAGCTACGCTACTTTAACAACGTGGGCGGCCTGGCCGGGATCATGGTGTGCGGCGTGAATCCCTGCTTTATCTTCCTAACTTCCCGAGGCGAGCTGCGCATTCATCGGCTGCTGGGCAATGCGGAAGTTCGGAGCTTTGCTGCATTTAATAATGTGAATATTCCGCATGGTTTTCTCTATTTCGATACAACCTATGAGCTGAAGATCTCAGTGCTGCCCACCTATTTGAGCTACGATGCCGCCTGGCCGGTGCGAAAGGTTCCGTTGCGTTGCACGCCTCGTCAGCTGGTTTATCATCGGGAGAATCGGGTGTATTGCCTGATCACACAGAAGGAGGAGCCGATGACCAAATATTATCGCTTCAATGGCGAGGACAAGGAGCTGTCCGAGGAGAGTCGAGGCGAACGCTTCATTTACCCCATTGGCTCGCTATTCGAAATGGTCCTGATCAGTCCCGAGACGTGGGAGATTGTGCCGGACGCTTCGATACAGTTTGAGCCATGGGAACATGTGACGGCCTTCAAGCTAGTGAAACTCTCGTATGAGGGCACACGATCGGGCTTGAAGGAATATCTCTGCATTGGCACCAATTTCAACTACAGCGAAGACATCACCAGTCGCGGCAATATCCACATATATGACATCATTGAGGTGGTGCCCGAGCCCGGCAAGCCGATGACCAAATTCAAGCTGAAGGAGGTGTTCAAGAAGGAGCAGAAGGGACCCGTTTCGGCCATCTCCGATGTGGTGGGCTTCCTGGTCACTGGTCTCGGCCAGAAGATCTACATCTGGCAGCTGCGCGATGGCGATCTCATTGGCGTCGCCTTCATCGACACAAACATCTATGTGCATCAGATAATCACGGTCAAATCGCTGATCTTCATTGCGGATGTTTACAAATCGATCAGTTTGCTGCGCTTCCAGGAGGAGTATCGCACCCTGTCGCTGGCCTCGCGCGACTTCAATCCCCTCGAGGTGTTTGGCATCGAGTTCATGGTCGACAACTCGAATTTGGGCTTCCTGGTCACGGATGCGGAACGCAATATAATTGTCTATATGTACCAGCCGGAAGCGCGCGAATCTCTGGGCGGACAGAAGCTGTTGCGTAAAGCGGACTACCATCTCGGTCAGGTGGTGAATACGATGTTCCGGGTGCAGTGCCATCAACGGGGTCTGCATCAGCGCCAGCCCTTCCTCTACGAGAACAAGCATTTCGTCATCTATGGCACGCTCGACGGAGCCCTCGGATATTGTTTGCCGCTGCCCGAGAAAGTCTATCGACGCTTCCTTATGCTGCAGAACGTTTTACTCTCCTATCAGGAGCATTTGTGCGGCCTGAATCCCAAGGAGTATCGCACGATAAAGACGGTCAAGAAAATGGGCATAAATCCGTCGCGCTGCATCATCGATGGTGACCTCATATGGTCCTATCGCATGCTGGCCCACTCAGAGCGCAACGAGGTGGCCAAAAAGATTGGCACTCGCACCGAGGAGATACTCGCCGATCTGCTCGAGATCGAACGCCTGTCGGCCATCTTTTAAAGTTAAAGCCTGGCCCTGACAGCCCTCTAAGTTTGTAAAGTTAAACCTTAAGCCCTAGTACTAAGTCGTAGTCCTCTAGTTATAAGTAATGCCAACTGCATGTCAACTTAGTCCAACTGCCCCCAAAACTATATCGTAATAGCAACAAAATGATTTGTTAACGCGATTTGTAGATTTTCCAAAACAAAACAAAAAATACTAAAAAAAAAAATATATAAATATGTTTATAAACTATGAAAAGTATAAATATTGGAATTATATATGTTTCTCTTTTTCAATTTATATTTAAAGGTGGTTATTTTAGAGAGAGAGAGAGAGCTTTACGATCGAGTAAAAACAATTTTGATAAAAAAATCTACGTTTAAGTAAAGTGAACTTAAAGAAAAATAATCTTTGATATAGAGAAATAGAAAAATCTTCCTATGCGTATGCAGTTTGTACAGATATTCATATGCAAAAATAAATCTTGTATGAATATGCATGACGATCTCTAGGTATTTATCAACCAGACACTTTTAATAGCCCTCTTCAGGTATAAACTACACAAATTATAAACTATCCCACACATAGGATCTCTCTTCTCTCTTATTACTAGCCAACATGGGAAACAATTAGTTGTTTGTTTTATTCGGGAGCAATTTCACATCGAATTCCAGTTTCAGTTTCCTATATCCGATTGATGACAGGCATAATTTGCGTATATTTACAAAGGAATTTGATATTTGCATAAAAAAGAAAACAATTTGTTTACAGTTAACCACGTTTTGGTTCGTGTGCACTTTTTGTATTTGTTTTGTTTTTGTATTTTGTAGTTTGTATGCATAGAGATATATAATTAATTCATTGTATAAACTAACAACATCATCAGTTAATTAATTGCAAATCAGACGGTGGCCAACAACAGCCCCGTTGACACTTTTCATACGTTGCAAAAGAAAATACACTTTTCACTTATCAGAAAAAAACTCTATATAGATATACATATATATATATATATATATATATATATATATATATATGTAGAAGGGAAGCAGAAAATATTTCCAAATGATAATTGAGAAAAATTACATGAAATTTGCTTCAACATATTTGATTAACTTTTATCTTAATTAAATGTTTTGGGTGCATATGCCTATGCAGGTGTGTTGATGTGAGTGTATATATGTAAATACACATAGTATGCGTGGGTGGGTGTATGTGTGTGTATGTGTGTGTTGGATGAAGGCGCTTCAAGAGTCCAAATTTTAACTTGAGCAAACTAATTTAGTTTAGCATAAACAACTGAGGACCTCTCCTCACTTTTCCTTTAACAAATTATGGTGCACATTGTTGTAGTAGTTGTTGTTGTTGTTGGTGGTGTGGTTGGCTCCCCCTCTATTAGATCTGCGACCGCAAGCGTGGGCGTGGCAAGTCACCAAACACCGCCTCGCCATGAACACTCTTGGCCAAGGCCTTGATGCTAGCTGCAATATCCACCGTATTGTCCAGCACCTAGAGAGAAAGAGAGAGAGAGGGAGAATGTTTAAATGTGATATTCTCCTTTAGCTAGTATTCACTGTACTCACCTCCTCATCCTCGAGCAGCACATGCTGCTGATTGTTATTATTATTGGCACGCTCCGCCAGCGGAGAATTGGCTATCTCAACGGGCAGACTCCGTGCGTAATTCGCAAAATGCATCTGCGCCGTGGAAGAGCCTCGCGCCTTGGCTCCATGCATCGCAATGGCCACTGAGCTATCCAAATCGAGAGCATCTATAATAAGAGAGAGGGAGAGTAAGTTAAGAATTGGGATAGATATGAATCTTTTGGGTATACAATAGGATCTCTTATGGACTTTAGAGCTAACACACTCATCATCAATAAGAACCCTCAGCCAACTTACCCTCTGCCTCGTCTGCATCGCTCATGTTGTCTTCGTGCTGAGTCAGCAACTGTTGCTGTTGCTGTTGCTGCTGATGGTGTTGCAGCTGTTGATGCTGCTGTTGCTGCAGTCGCTGATATTGGTGGTGCTGTTGGTGGTGTTGGTGCTGCTGCTGCTGTTGCTGCTGCTGATAGTTGTGGGATGTGTGGCCTTGTGGTCCATCAACATCCTCCAGATCAAATAGACACTCGTCGGCATCATCAGCGGCAGCAGCTGGCGACATCGGCAGCAGGCTGTTGCTGGCCAATGCCGAGGGCTGTTGCTGCTGCTGCTGCCTAAAGGTGGGGCTATTGCCCACGCTCATGGGCGTGGCTTCTGGTGTGGCAGGCGGTGTATCAAAGTTTGACATTTTGCGCGCACTCAAAATTGTGGCGCTAGGTAACGGAGGCTGCTGTTGCTGCGGCTGCGGCTGCGACGGTTGCTGCTGCTGCTGCTGCTGCTGCTGTTGTGGCTCCTGTGTGAACGCCAAAAAGTTTGGCGGCCCACCCAGCAAGGGCGTGGTGGGCGTGATCGGCATACCCAAGTCGCGCCGGCTGCTAATCGTATTCCGGCGTCGAGCCCCAAACGTTGACTGGACAGAAGCAGCAGCGCCCATGCCCAGGCCCCCGCCGACGTTGCCGGCACCCGTTACCTCCAGGGCAGCGAGCTGGCCATTGTCGAGCAGCTGCAGCGCCCTGTCAGGTACTTGCATGATGATGCGCTTCAGGAGCGCGTAGTCCTGCTTCTCCTTCTCCTGATAGCTCTTGAGCAGCGCAAACTGCTGATCCGTGTAACGCTCGACGCGCTCCGTGGTCGCCTTGATCTCGGCCTCCACGCCCTCTTTGTGACAGTTCTCCAGTATCTTGAGGCGCTGCAGCAAACTGTCGCTCAGAGTGGAATCAATGAACGGATTGGATGTTACAGCTGCCTCAGCTGCCTCCGGTGCCAGAGCTGTAAAGTCCGGAATGAGGATCTTAAACGCCTCCGAATAGGACTTGTCGTTGCATCTGTACATCAGATCCTTCTCGGTGCACCGCAGGCTCGCATTGATGTACCAGCCATTAAGCGGCGTTTCCCCCTCGTGGCGTCGCCCAAACACCACGTCCGTGCAGTTCATGCACATGTAGAAGCGCCAGTTCTCATTCTGCTCATCGAAGGGTAACGTGTAGACCAATTCACGGTGGACAATATTTATGCTCACATCCTGAATGGGACCAATGGCCTGGAAGCAGAGGGAAAAACGATTATTTATTGTAAAATTTTTGATAGGAATATTGATTAAAGTGAGATTCTGATACAGGAGATGGAGAGATGGATCACTTATTATAATATACTTAATACAAATACAATAAATATTTTGAATACCTGTGTTGTCCTAGCTGAACTTTTGAAAATCACAGAGAAAGGCGTGTTTTTAGACACAGAGGGAAAGAGAGAGAGAGAAACAGGGAGAGGCAGACATATAGCAATTGCCATTAGCTTTGATATATGGGTCAAACATATAAAAACATTTAAATAGAGGACAAAATTGAATTTGATTCGAGTCTAGCCAGACCCTCTCTATCGATTTAGGTCATTTAGATCTATAGAATGAAATTTCGCCAAACTGTCTGCTACCCAATGTTGTTGATCAATGAACATTGATAAGAAGAGACCAGCATTGCAAATGGATGACAAATTTTGGACTTGCACAATATTTTCCAAGTGTTGGCAAATGTATCGATAAAACTGATCAATAATTGCTGATTAATTATCGAGCGGTAAAGTTGATTTCCTTTTGGTGCGCTCATTTCTTATCTCCTGGTCAATGGCTGATTAGCGACAAGTGTTTTTTTTCTTCACGACCGATAAGCAAATATATACCCTATAAATTGTGTGCGAGTTGCAAAACTTTTTTGCTTGAAATTTCAATAATAAATTATTGGGAGTAAGTACACATACACCTAGGTATATATCTATATCTATATATAGTTATTTGTATTCATATTTGTTGAGGCACATCGCACAGTAGTTCAAGTGCAAATTTGTCAATTATGTTTCAGAGAATGTTCATGTCAAGTGGGCGTCGCTTGTAGCGCCTTATCAAAAAAATGAAGAACAAAAATAGAGCAAAAAAAAAAAAAGCTAACTGAACCATCGAAGTAAACAACAAACAATTAGTGCAATGGCAAAATGTTGTAGACTCCAAAAAGCAACAGCACTACTTGACTTTCTCCGATTTCATTGCCAGTTGTGGGTAAGTGGGGTAATATACTTGGATGTTGGCTAGGCAGTGGAAGTTGGTGTGTAGGTATATATATTAGCTCACCAACACTAACCTAGTCAATTTAACTCTATTTGGTATTAATTTCGATCTACCTTAAGATAAAAACTCTAATTTAAATATATAATTTTGTAATCATAATTAGCAGGATATCTTCTAGTCGTATACGCCAAAGAACATTCTTATTTGTTTGCATGCAGCATAATTATTGGCACAATCAGAAATAGCTCCCTCTCGCTCTCTCTTACTCTCACTCTCTCTTTCTGTATAGAAATAAAAACCTTGTCAAGAGCAAAAACACAGACGTTTGTCTATTAGAGGGAAAGACAGACAGACAGACGATAGACAGAGAGCAAGATTTGAAAGATAGCATTAAGGTAAATACATCAAATAGTTTTTTGATTACAATGGGAAGTATAAATAAATAGAATATAGTGTATTTATAATAAATATACAGTTGGGAATGGTAGAGGTATATTCATAGTCCGATATACCTTAGCTTATGCATATACTACAAAGACATTATGGTACTATTAAAACTTCTATATCTAACAATTGTATGCAAATTTCTTAAAAATTGTTTTCATTTTAGCATTTTCATTTTCATAGAGTATTTGCTAGTCGTTCCATTGCTGTCGCTTCAGTGACCATAGCACGTGTTGGCTGTGTGACAGCAATGCTAAATTTGACACTTAGTTTAAACACAATACCCGTATACCCTTTGCGCCTCTGCTCATTCTGCGGCATCCACCGATGAACTAACCAAACAAACAACCAGCCGGGCAATTCAACTGAGTAAAAATTAAATTGAATTAAGGTAGAAAATGCAAACGTCAACACAAATCAAATGACAATGTGCTTTCTGTCTCTCTCTATCTGTCGGTCTATCTGTCTGGTTTGGCTTGGCTTTTGGTCAGCATTTGCTCTAGAGCGAGCTATGTAGATTGATATACTATATATGTATATATATGTTTGTAGTGAGAGTAATCTAATAGGTAGCATCAAATCTAACATATGCCC